AATATAATAATATATGACAACTATAGTACAGTCAAAATTAGATGAATGAACATCTGTTAGCAGTATAGTTTGGTTCGTATTTTTGCAAAACAGGACTTGCATAATTGTCATGTCGGTTGTCTTGTTCATCACACTCATTCTCTGCATTGTGATTACTGTCTTGGCTTTTCGCCCTAAAAATAGTACACTTTCACATGTTGGCTATTACGAAAAGGCTGCTGTGGCCACTGACTCACCTGAGTGCTCTACTATTGCCAAGTAATTTGTCTTATATTACACACTGATGTCATCTATCATTGTTTATAAAAGTGCTACAATTACATGAATGTTGGTTTTGTTGAACTGGATTGTTTTTTTAAATTTGCGAATTACTGGCCAAACCACATAAAATGGTCATTTTTGCTCCATTTTTTTTTTAAATTTTTTTCTTTCATATTTTCATTTTTATTAAAAAGTATTGAATTTAATATTAAATTGTTTTTCAAATTTGTTTTGGTTCCTTGCATTTACAGAATTAATATGAATAATTAATGTTATGAATGTTTTTTTATCTCCAAATTTTTTGATGATGTAAAAATTAATATGTTCTCAATCACTAGAGAAATTCTGTTGAAGAATGGATCTGCAGTTGACGCTGCCATTTCAGCCATGTTTTGTGCTGCTTTGTATAACTTCCAAAGCTGTGGTGTTGGTGGAGGATTTTTCATGATAGCTTATGATAGGTAATTTTTTTTTTAAATTTTATAATATTTCATGACTATTTTAGTTTTCTTTTCTCCTAATTATAGTAAATTAAAATTTTTTCAGACCAAAAACTGGCGGACCACCTGAATTTTTAACTTTTGACGCCAGGGAAGTAGCTCCACTGAAAGCTGAAAAGTACATGTATGCAAACGAAACTTTATCCAAATATGGTAAACTCATCAAAAATTTATGCAGATCTTAATGGTTGTAAACTGACTATAAAAAATTAATTATATTCACTATTAAAACATAAATCACTTCATATTTTGAATAGAAATTAAATTTGAGATAATATTATTTGCAATTTCAAATGTTAGTCTATTGGTAAAAATGATCCTCTTAAGTTATTTTTTAGTATTAGTTACCATTGTAATAAGATTTTTTCAATTTAATAATTTTTTCTTTTCAGGTGGTTTGTCAATAGCTGTCCCAGGCGAGATCAAAGGCTACCACGAAGCCTGGTCGAAGTTTGGTCGTCTGCCATTTTATGATTTAGTTAAACCCTCTATAAAGTTATGCAAGGAAGGGTTTAAAATAAGCCACCAACTTGCTCGGGCCATAGAGAATGAGGAGACATTGGTCAGGAGTTCTCCTGGATTGAGGTAAGACTTTTCTTTCGACTTTTATTTTATCCATTTCAGTTAAATTGTAAACCATAGTTGTAATTTTTTGCAGTAAACTTTTTGTGAATGAACATGGCCATCTGCGTAAGAAAGGGGAAGTAATAAAGTTAGAGAAATTGGCAGTGACCTTGGAACAAATAGGCAAAAACCCCAACAGCTTTTATGAGGGTGATTTAGCTAGAAATATAGTGGATGAGTTGAAGGAAGTCGGTCAGTTTACCTCTATGCTGTTACTAATGTTTTTTTTTAGAAATATAAGTTATTTTTCCACTTTCTTTTCAAGTTCACCAGTTGTTCTTATAGAAACAAAAACTTATCTTTGTTAATATCTTAGAAGTAGTTCATTTGAATAGATTCTTAATGACATTTCCTGCTCTAGGTGGAATAATTTCCGATATGGACTTGACAAAATACAGCGTCAAAATGAAAAAGCCGTTCATGGCTGAACTGCCGAAGAGCAAATTAAATATTTACACCCTCCCCCCGCCGTCTGCAGGACCTATCCTCTCCTTCATGCTCAGGCTCATGGACAGTCAGTGCAGTTCATTTAATATTATTATTATTATTACTACTGCAGCAACAACTACTCACGACTCATGGACTGTCATTACTGTTCGTTTTACATTATTATTATTACTACAGCAACAACTACTACTGCTACTACTGACCTTAACTCTGGACAACTCAAGATATTTTAATACTTCATAATATTTTTTTAACTCATTGAACAAAATTTATGCAAGTTTAAAGTACAGCTTCACATTGATGAGTGTGGTTTTTAAAAAAGCGTACATTTCTCCAATTTATTTGTTTATTGTTTGTTTTTTATTCAAATGAACGTCAAAGTTCAATATTTTAGATGCGTTGAAATGAGTTTGAAGAATTTGTTGATGGGTGTAAATTAGCATAACATATAGACGTATCATTGAATGAATGTTCATTAAATCGCACGCTTCAACCAGGTTTCAATCAGTCTTATAATCCATCTTACACACCCGTTGACGCATATCAAATTCTTGTGGAAACCCTTAAGTTTGGATATTCTCTGAAGACACACCTGGGCGATCCCGAGTTTTACGATGTCACTAAAGTACTTGACCTTGCTTACCTTACAGTTTTTCTTGAATTTTGCTTTGTTTTTTTAATTTAAGTTTAGTTATAATTAATGTTTTATGTTGATGTCTTGTTTTCTAATTGTTTTCTATTGAAATTTAAAAAAGACATCATTAGAAAATAATTATAAATTGTTCGAAATATAAATAAACTTTGTTACGATGTTTTTCTTATACAAATAGGTTCTTGCAGATATTCTGTCAGACGAGTACATTGAATCCATCCACAAATTAGTGACCCTGAGAGAGACGCACGATTACTCATACTACAATCCACATCCTGGCTTCCACGAGCTTCGTGATGCGGGTACGTCTCATATCGGCGTCGTGTCTCCTGATGGCGGTGTCGTAGCTGCCACAACCACCATCAATCTTGTGTACGTTTACACCAACTGTTAAATCGCTCTAGTTTATTTTCAGTTCAATATTTACGTCTTAAAGTTTTTAGCGGATAATTTTTTATAAAAATTTTAAATTTAAAGAATAAAAAGTTCACTTTATCAAGATGTATCAATATGTTTTTTTTTATCGAAAGTTGTTCATGCACTTCTTTGGCAGATTTGGATCCGGAGTCATTGGAAATCGCACAGGCATTTTGTATAACGACGAAATGAATGACTTCAGTTTGCCCGTGTTAAAGCCTCAGTTTGGAGAAGGAAACTTCATAGAAGCGCTAAAGAGACCTCTCTCGTCCATGGCCCCATCCATCCTGCTCGACCATGATGGCAACTTCAAGTACGTCATTGGCGGATCCGGTGGCACCAAGATAACTTCCGCTGAATTATATGTTAGTAAAATGTTTTTACATATCCTTTTTTGAACATTTGGATGTAGATGAAGAAGGATGCAAAAGCAGTCTTTTTTATTATTTTGCATTTTTTTGTTTTTGATTTTTAAGAAAATTGAATAATTATAAGAATTATTTTTCATAAATATTTTACCCAACAATAAGGTCCTTGCAAATAGACTATGGTCAGGACATAAGATAAATGAGGCTGTTGATAAATTGAGATTGCACCATCAATTTGTACCCAACCACATCCTTTACGAACGGGGATTTGATCAAGTACTTTTCATTTATTCAATAATTTTAATTGGCTATCAGTACCACAGACAATTTACCAAGTTTTCCATATTAAAAAAATACAAAATTTAAAAACTAGTAAAAATAATGTTACAGAAAATACTTGATGAGTTGATTGATATCGGTCATGACGTGAAGCGAATGAGGAAAAATGCCACAATGTCCGTCGTTCAAGTCATTGAATCTACTTGCCATCTGAAGGTCAACAAGAAGTGTCTTATTGCTGTTTCAGATTATAGAAAAGAAGGAAAACCAGACGGATTTTAAATTTTTTTGAAATTCATATTTGATGTAAAATTTTTACTTATTTATTGTTTTACACAATTATTCATTTGTGATGAGTTCAAGACATATTATATTTTCCTGAAAAAAAAAAAACTAACTTAAACTCTCAGTTTTTAGCAAATTTACCGTATCTGCTTTTCAAGACACTTTTCATTAACCTACCTTATTGCCATTTTGAGATCAAATGCTACAGGATATTTTCCCCTATAATTTAAAACATGTGTTTAACGCTGCATGTACCTATACGATAGCTCTTCCTCCTAAGGATTAACTAATTAATTTTTTAGAATATCTTTATTGACATGATTTACATTTTTACAACGTTGAATGAAGTTTAATGCTAGAATGATGGATATTTGACATGGGCGTTTCCAACGTCAAACGGGATCGGTGTCAGGAATTGAAAGTTCAGTATCGGGGATAAGAAATGAAAAATTTGTATCGAAAAAGTATCGGTGGTTTTGGAAATTACCGATACGCACTCATATTTACCGATTGATGAGGAAAAACTCCGTAAATTGAATTTCGTTTCAGAGAAATTGTCGAGAAATCCTGACATCATCGAAAAATTATTTCGACATCGAAATTTCTCGAGAAATCATTGGCCTAGGGATATAATTCAGTCTTTGTTATAGGGTTTGATACTGAGAAGTTTATTTTTTGAAATTGGGTTCGAGATTACCGATGTCCATCGGGAAATGAAATATTTCTGGTGCATCGACTCAGAAGCGCCCATGTCTAATTTAAATCGCAGCATTATTAAAATATTCAAGCTACAATAAATCGCAGGATACCTAATAAATGTGATACATACGTTGACATTGATATTCAAATTTCTTTCTCCAGTCTTCAAATTCTTAATGTCCATAGGTTTAATTGTTTACGATCTGATGTCACTGCATGTTTGTAAACTTTATATTTAATTTGTGTTTATTTGGTTGCACCGAAAATGCATTCATTGCTTTGATGTGGTAAATGTCACTTTGAGAACTTATTTATAAACATTAGAGTATTATTTGTTTTTTTAATAATTTAGTAGTTTGCAGAACTGCGCAGCCATGAGTAAGAATGAGAAGGGTGTTAGAGTTTTTAAAATTGTCCTCACTGGAGGTTATTTCAATTTACCTTTTCTGTAATTTAGCACACAATTTATTATTAAATAATTAAGTACCTTTGCATATTATATATATAAATAAATATATACATGTTCGTGTGTTAAGTATAAGGCCATTACGTTTACAATTTTCATTAAATTCTATCACTATTTTATTAATAACTTATATTTTAATAAATAATATAATATTGTATAATAATAGCGATAGAATTTCATGAAAATTGTATATATATATATATATATATATATATATGTACATATATATATATATATATATATATATATATATATATTATGATTAAGACTGTCAGAAATGCAATGATTGGTTGATGAAAATCACAGCACGTTACATGTCCTGTTTAATTTTTAGATTTTTTCAACGGTAGATCGTAAATCATTGTCAAGTTTCTTGAGTTCAAAAACAAAATTGTCATTTATTTTAAGCATGATAGAAATAAATATTAATAAATAAATAAATAACGCGGAACATGCTGTAATTTTCATCAATATATGTATATTTAAATACAAACATATATTCATATTTTTATTTATTTGTTGCTTATAATAAATTTTAAAGTCCGGAATTTCACGGACGGCCTATGCCTAGAATATTTCATTTGTAATATATTTCGCAATACGATACTTTGAAGATATAATTAAACAGGCCTTTGCATTTTGAGTTTTGCAGTCTCAAATTATACGCATTCGTTTGCTAGGGCAATTAATGTTATTATTTTGATTAAAAAAAACATGTTATACCTACTATTTAACTTGAGTTACTTTCAAATTTTACGTTTAAAAGTACAAAAAACACTAAATATTTTAGTTTTGTTACTTCCGCAGGTCCGTGCGGAGGTAAGACTTCTGGACTTGCCGTGCTCACGCAATTTTTTGAACAGGCTGGATGGAAAGTTCAAATATTAATATTATTATTTGTTGTTTTTGTAATAATATTTAGTTAAAAATTTATCATTCTTTTCCATTCGTGTTTGCACTATTGTTTTAACTGATTTTGCATTTTGCTTTGTTGATTTTTCCTATGCCGTGTTAAATTTTTGTTTCTATTTATTGCCAGTTTTTGCTGGTTTCATTTGCATTGAAATATTTTTTATTTTTGCTCGACAGAAATGTTTTGAACGAAAAATGATAACAATAATTTCTTGAGTTTAACTCTCAGAACATCCACCACTAACTTCATTATATAGTTTACTTGAATGTTGTGTTTTTTTTTATATTACACAATTGATTATTTCATAACAGGTATATCGTGTTCCAGAGACAAATGCTATTTTAATGAAGTACTATTATTTTATTTTTATATATTGATATCTTGGACATGCATATTAATTTAATTCGTTTTTCAATCGATCGTTTTCCTCAAGTAATAATACTTAATGAATTTGTTAATTTTTAAGGTTATCTTATAAACCTCTAGTACAATTTACAGCAACTTTTCTGTTTTTTTATTTGGTCTGGTTATAACAAACATTTTCGTTTCTTGCAAGATTTTATAAAATCAAATTGTTGAAATTTTGGAATCGTCTAATTTGATTGTTGATTTATTTCAGTGTTGGCGTTAAGTTTGGAGAATTAAAAGGAGCGGACAGTAAGAAATTTGTTCATGTCGTCGACGTATTTAATTTTGTTTAACTGAGTTTAAATTTTCGATTGAATATAATCACAAAATCCACGAAATAAACAAAATGTGCATGCTTCTAGTTCAGCTGTTTCAAACAAACATAATGAGGACGACGATGAGATTGGAAAAAACATTTTTTGATCTTTCGAACACTTCGTCTGTTCCCTGTTTGGTACTTTGCGATGGAGGGGTTATGGACATTGCCGCACGTAAGCGATAAATTAAATAAAACGAAAAAGTAGTCACTTTGTTTGAAACTAAATTTTTGAATCTAAATGCTTCATTGTCTCAAATTACCTTGAAGTTTTGTGTGATAACAACTTCCCAGACATCAGCCACGACACGTGGGAGCAGTTAAAAATGGACAATCACTGGCATGAAGTGTACTTGAGAGACAGGAGGTACGATCAAATTATTCACTTAGTGACGAGTGCCAAAGGAGCAAGTACTTTCTACCAGGCGCAGCACAATCCAATCCTGGAGAGCATTGATCAAGCCATTAGCCTTGATGACCGAATCGCAGATGTATGTGATCTAAAATATTGTACAATCGAAAACATTTAGAAAAAATGATGCAGTTCATTAAATAAGTACATTTTTTATATTTATTATATGCGTGTATGCGAGCTATGTATTAATGACATTTCTAGGCCTGGCTTGGACATCCGTATTATTATATTATTGATAATTCCACAAATTTTGAGAAGAAAATGTTACGAACTTTAGCGGTCAGTTCCAAATTTTACTTTTTGTGGTTTTTGGTTTTTCATTTAATGTTCACAAAATGCAATTTTTAATTACAAAATTTTCTTCTAAAACCAAAAAGGCTGTTTGTTTACGTGTTGGTGTTCCATTTTCGGATGGCAATCTGAATGATGTAAAGAAGCAAAAATTTTTGGTGGATTCGTTGGGAAATATGGTTGGTAGATGGAATAATCATAATAATCAATCAACTTAATCTTGAAAACTAATACGTTTTCGTATAGAATGGTGTCAAATGTGAAGAATTGTTAATCGGCGTTACGCTCTTGGCATCGAACGAGCCAACTGTGAAATCGAAAATAATCAGACGAGGAATGAATGGTTATTTCATTTGCAATATCTAATTTTTTAATGTATATATCCTAAATGAAATTTATTTCATTAAAGTCGAATGGCTTTCTAATTCAGAAACTTGGAACTTTGACTCAGGTTTTAATTTTTGTCTAAATTTCAAAATATGTGACACAGCAATTACAATTTTTCGAATAAGTGTTTGTGGACAAGAAAGACATTTTTACAAAGCGTATGATAAATTTAAAAAAATCAAAAATTTATTTCAATTAAATCTGAAATTATTTAATTAGTATATTTCAATGAAAATTAAGGTATTTGGAACTACACACTAGAAGTAAAGAAAGATAACAAATTGGAGTTGTCAAATAACATTTCATTTGAAGAATATCAGGTGGAAAAAAGTTGTGTGCATTCACACGCGTTCAACATTAATTAATATTTCTATTTTCCAGCTCTTCAAATTGCAACAAGATTCACGTTACGAAGAGATGTACGTGAAAAGCAAATATTTTTTGTGGCAAAATTTTTATTTTTGTCTGAACCATTTAATTGACAGGTAGGTTTGATCCGTCATTAAATTCAATAAATAGTATTAGTAATTTTATGTTAATTGTAAATTTATGTTAATCCTATCTGCAGTGATCTGATTTTCCTTGAGACGCACACAAGCAAGGACGCCTCCGATATATCCATTCCACCGTTTGTTAAAATCAACAAAGTTGTTACTGACGACGAGACTTACTGCATGTACAATTTAGCTGCTTCCAAACGAGTTTTGAAAGAAAAAAATTAATTCGTATTTTGAATATTGACTCGTTTGGCTTTGTCGTGTTTTCTGCTGGAGATTTTGATTACGAATATTTTTTATATTTGTCATTTATGCAAATCGCTCAACTTAAAACTAACGTCGTTTTCCTATGCGTGTAAATAAATAAATTTCAATTGATTGTGTTTTTTATTTTTTGAATTCATCTAACAAACCACTAAAAGATATTTTATTTCAAAACGTATTTACACGGAAAATAAATTTTCAAATAATAATAATAAATCATTTTTACTTTTGACGACATGACAGCTGTTAAGAATACGGATTACAATATTTTCAAAATAGTCATAACTGGAGGTTTGTCGAACTGAGCTTTAAAACAATTTTTACGTACGATTTCGTTATGTACTGACTCCAGACTCCAAAAATTTGTGTGTTCATATTCTCGAGAGCTCTAGTTATATCTGAGAGCCAGCGAAAGTAATTTATCAACTAATAGAAATGAAATTTCAAATTGCTTGCAGGGCCGAGGGGTGGCATATCGACAGCCATCCACAGGATAACTGACTTTTTTGAAAAACTCGGGTGGAATGTTAGTCGATGAGATATTGAAATTGAAATGATTTAAATTTTAAAACACACATGGACAAACACAATTTACGCCGTCAAATCATTCTGTTAATTTAATAATTCAACTGCAGACAAATGGAATGTGATAAAGAGAAAAATATCTTTTGTTAAAGTTAAACAACACGAGAATTCAAATGTTTATACTTATGCTGATATATTCTTACTATTATCATCCAGGTTTTTAACGTGCCAAGAATGTCAAAACTATTTTTCGAGTGAGTATTTTTATAAATGAACTTTCCAAAACCCCGATAATTTTTAAACTATATCCTCACGTAATTTTTATTCATATTAAAATTTACCAAAGAACATTTTATTACGCAGCGGTGGCATAGAATTTGATGCTCTGACCGAAAAAGAAAGTAACTCACAATTCGTTTGAAAAATAAATTATATTCTGCTCATTGTTAAAAAATAAATAATTTATATGCACTGGTTTAATGGGTTGCGTCTATAAATAAAAAATATTAAGTGATACATCCATAGTGATACATTTATACATTTTTCAGTTTATAAGTTTCAAGAAAATTTATTGAAAGCAAGCATCCAGTTAGAAAACACCGTCCTCGATTACGCAATACTGACCAGTAAGGACTGCGTTATATTCTGCGAACAGGGACTCATGGATTCTTCTGCTTGTGAGTTTTGTTTTTCTTTTGTTACCGATATTAGCTTTAATAAACTAATATTTTCTTAAATCTTAACATTAAATATAATTCTAGTGGCAATATGATTGCTAATCTAAATTTAACCCATCATCTGACGGGGCATTTTACTTGCATTTATGGATGACTTTTTAAAAATGGTTCAGCAGCGACTCTAATTTAGCAACAGCAGTAATAGTTATACGTATGACTAAATGATTGGATTGCTCTGAGTTTTATGCTTATGTGGTTATCTGGTTTGTTTAAGGACTTAAACTCAAGTGCTTGCTCTTCCGTCATGAGATTGTTGGAATTGCTGTTTGTTGCACTAACCTATGCATTAATATATTTTTTTGGTTTTAGCTATTGACAAAATTTTTAAAAAGAATAAAAATTAAAAAAAAAGAGTTTCTATAAGAATGTTTAAATCTGCAACAGACATATCTAGAGTTATGTGGGAGCAACTGAAAACATCGAATGAATGGCACGAAGTCTACTTACGAGACAATAGGTTGGCCTCATCATTAGACCATCTACTAAACTAATTTTTTTTCAAACATTTGAAAGCTAACAGAAGCTATTAATACAAATTTATTTTAATAAAAACTTATTCAGTATAAAAAAAACAAGTTCCCCAATGAGATGAAGTATGAGTGATAAAATACAACGTAATTTAATAATTGAAAAGATACGACTATGTGATTCACCTGATGACGGCAGCCAAAGGAGCAGTTGATTACTACAAGCAAAGCGGCAACTCATATTTCAGTAATAGAAATCCTGAAGACGCTGCTGCACTCGACGATAAAATAGCTGAAGTTTGCTGGGAGACTATTGTTTTATAATTGCAGACGAATACTGAATTTTGAAGTTTAAAGTTTAAATTTGAGAGAACTTGGAAAACTTTGTTATTGTTACAACATTATTTTAAACATCAACAAAAAAATAAAATCTTGAAAATTGAAAAAAAAACTATAACGATTAAAATTGGTGAAAATATTTTAAAGGCATGGGTAGGTCATCACACGTACGATGTCATCGACAATTCTACAGATTTTGAACAAAAAATGCTCAAAACAATATCTGTATGATTCAAATTCTTTTGCCTTTTTTGTAAAACCTGGCAGGTTTTTACATGAGAATGTTTGATTATTTTTGTAGTTGGTCTGCAAGAGAGTTGGCCTGTCTATCAGCAACGACCTAACTAACAAAACCAGCAAACACAAGTTTCTCGTAAAAAACATTGGAAATATGGTACGTTTGATATGGTGTAATGAAATGTTGTCTCATATTATGCTTTGTTGAATTAATTTTGTCATAAAAATATGTCATCAGTTGGTTAACTATCAGGAGTTTATTTGCGTTTACAATATTTTGACGACTGGCAAGCCTCATGTGCATGCACGAGTCAAGAAGCAAGGACAAAACGGTTACTAAAATACATTGAAATTAATGTTACGACGTAATCTATCATTCTAATAAGAATGAAAAACTTTTTATTGATAAAATATGCTTTAACGTTTGAGGTATTCAAAAATGTTTAAATTATTTTGAATTTTTCTCAAATTTCAGTTCAATGGATAGACGAGAAGAAGTCATGGAATTTTAACAGTGGTATCTTTTGTTATTTCGATCCTAAATTTATTCTTGAAGACGTTTTAGTCTTGCCATACAGTTGTGAATTACCTACCCTTTAAATTATTCAATGACATATCAGGTTATTGGACGTTCATTCACTCAGTTGAGCACGTTCCTCACCATCAGGAATCGGACTTCTCAACTCGTATATCGGCCACAGAATATAAGGTTCAATTCGCTTCTTATCAAACCGCTTTAATACATATTTTACCCGATATTGTGTTATTCACTAATCATCATCAATAATTTGCTGTGATTTTCTGTAAACACAATGCAACTGTAGCTTCTGTTATTGTTGAAAGATCCGGAGTACAGCGAGTTGTGTGTAAAAAGCAGATACTTTCTTTGGAAAGATTTATATTTTAGGCTCGATATTTTTGAGGAAAACAATCCCTCGAGGTTATCAAAATTTGATACTTGTTTCGGAAAATAAAAATGTGTGCAAATATGCCATAAAAATCGTTTTTCTCAACAGATGCAAAGGTTTGATACTCTTGGAAACGTTTACCACGCGACAAGGATCTGACTTGGTGCTTCCTCCCTTTGCTCAAATTGTCGCTGATGTGACTAACGTGCCAAAGTACCACATCACTACCCTAGCCAAGTCCATATCACCCGATATGTCACTGAGTGAAAAATAGCCGAAATATAAATGAATTTTCTACTCTATTGGTATATATGAAAATAATACTTTAGTAAATTTGCATGAACAAAATTCTTAAAAAATCAGCTTCATCAAAAAGCAATAAGACTTTTTGTCGTTTAGTTAGTTAAAAATATATTGTGTTTTGTTAACATGCTGCAAACAAGAACTATGATAATTCCATGAAGCGCTTAGTGTTTTTGTGGTTGTAACAAGGTGATAGAACTGCGCACATTACACAAATCATTAATATCTACGTAGGGCTGTTAACGCAGTTTTTAACAGAGCTCATTAATTAGTGTATCTCGAGAAGCAGAAATTGACAAAAATAAATGCATACAACTCTCTGGATAGAATTTATCGAAAAATATAAATCGTTGTAAAGGGGAGTGTTTGAGAGACTTTATCCCATTCCTTCAACATAACCAGTTTTTGAATTATAAATTTCTACACTGTTTCATTTAATCTCCAACAAGCTTTTTCTCTCATGACGCGTTTTTTAATACCCAGCACAATCTTTCAGATAACAAAAAAAAGTAACCACCTTCAACCACAACTAAATTAACTTTCGAATATTTGTGTATCAAACAACGTCAATGAAAAAATTGATCGGCGACAGTTTTAAGGAAATCGTTTCAATGAAAATTTACTTTTGTTATCTTTTACCAGCTTAAGTTAAATTTATTTCGGGTAAAATAGCGTTCAATTAAATTTTGGTTTTTAATAATAATTTAATAACAATAATAATGATAGGCCTCGATTGATCATCAAATGTGTTTAATAAATAATAATGTCAGAAAATTTTGTACACTAAAAAATTTGCATAAAATAAAAATGTTCAGAAAGTAAGTTATGTCAATGTTCTGCTGCATTACAATAGTTAGATACAAAATCAATTTCAAGGTAATAAAAATAAACTCATCAGAGTTCAGTTTGATTAAAATTTATATAAACAGTTTTGATTGAACTGAAAAACAAATCTGAGTCCAATAAAAAAACAGTCTAGCATGGCGAGCACATTTAGCAGAAGAATCATGTTGGGAATCACATCATTACAAAAATCTTATTATGTGCAACTAAATATGAAACAAGTTTTTAACTGTTTTATTGTAAATAATGTTCAGTCATCAGCGAATACAGTTATTTAACAAACGCGTCAGTCGTAATCGTTGTTTGGATTTTGATTGACAGGTAGAGTTTGTTTTATTTCATCGTGCAAGTTCTTGGCGTAACGAATGTGTTGCACGACCTGGATAGTATTGTAAGCGTTTTGCAGAGTATGACAACGCATGCGAAATTAATGAAATATAATTAGATTATAACGGCAAGCCATAACTCCAATAAAGCTGGTAAATAATTTAAAAAAACATCCATCACAAGCTTTAAATAAAATTGAATGCAAACGACCGTATTCCAAAATGAAATATTCATAAATCTTGCATTTTAGTAGAACGTTTCAAACAGATTAAAAAATAATTTTTGAACTACACAAGACACAAACTTCTTCAGCAATGCTTTCCGAGTCACACCTGACCAAAGGACTTTTCTTCGCATCACCCGTCAGCAGGAGGTTGCTTGAATCATCCTTCATTATAACTTGAATGTAACACTTGTTTTCTGTCGAAAAAGTTATTAATTCACAATTTCAACTCAATTTCATTTCAATTCAAATTCGGTTGTCTAAACGAGGCTTTCGCACAAGAAAAAAAATACAGTTTGGTTTTTGAATGAAATGTGATAAAAACCTTTGTTGGTCCATTGGCAGCCTATGAAATTTTCGTAAGACACTTGAAGAATGATGCTGTTTCCCTTCTTCATAAAGTATATCTTCTTGTTTGATATGAGCACGTGCACACTTTCACTCTCATGTCCAACTTGGAGTTCGTACCTAGCTATGAATCTGAAACAGACACCAAGGCTCGAATGTATCAATTACAGTTAGCTACACAGAACTGAAACAGGTTTTATTGTTAATAATATAGAATAAATTGTATTAACATTTCATCGTAGACGTTGTGGTTCTGTTGAAATAGAAACTCCTGGGCTTCAGCATGATAAGCAGAATATGGAGGTAACAGTCCGCACTGTCCATAGCAACATCTCGGTTCTCTGACTCTGGAAGGCCTTTTATGAAAATTTCCCTTGCTTGAATCCCTTATAGCGTGAGCAGTGCCCGACGTGAAATCCAGCACACCTGCTACGGGCTTTGTGATGGTTCCTACCACACCCTTTACCATGCCGCTTGCAAACCCCTGACCATGAAACAGTGATTGAGTTAACGTATATCAAGAACGATTGATTGAACCGAAAAACCCAAAGAAATATATAATAAAACCATTTAATAAATAAATTGTTTCGGCGCTGAACGTATAATTTTCTTTATAATCAAAAGAAAAGCGTATACACAAAAAAATGTTCTTACAGCAATTCCTTTTTCAGATGCTCCAAGGTAGGCTTGAGATGGAATGGATACAACAGCTCCTCTCAATCCGTGCCAGAGACTGCTGAGACCTGCAATGAGATGGTCAGAACCACCCTCCTTGTACTTCTGAAGAATCTGTTGCCTCTCAACTTGGTGCCTCTCGTCCAATGTTGCCTTTCCAACCGTGTCCGATAATGTGCTACTCATCTGCGTGTTGCAGCGCACAGGAAGTAGAAATTGAAGTAAAATGCACGGTAAACAACCAAGTTTTGTAAATCAACGACATAAAATTAGTAATGAAGTCAATAAATTTTAGCCAACAGATATCTATGAAGCAGTTGAAAACCTTAGCAACGGAATTAGTTGCCCCCTTGGTGACGTTTTTCAACATGCCACCAACATTCAATTCCAGCAAACACTGGACACCCTCAGCCATGTCACTAAAGAGTCCCAGAGGATTTCCAAGAAAATCAACGGAGCCAAGAATCCTGGCTGCCTGACCCAAGATTTCATTTGTGTAGTGATGACGGATCGACTCAAGCAAGAAGGTAAGCGTTTCAAAGAGGTGGTATTTTGTGAACGTATCTAAGAAAATAGTTCAATCTTCATTTAGTTCACAAAAATTGTTATGAAAATATATTTATTAAGTACTCTATATTTAAGAATTCAAAAATTGCAGTTTTTTTTAGACTGCAAAAATCAAAATATAAAATCTACTTCTTAAAGAAACTAAAACAACAAACAATTGTGATAATTCAACCTAATTCAATCTGCGCATCCTCGAATCTTATGAGAGGGATTCGGAGTGATTTTTTGATGATTTTAAGATCAGGAGGAAGGTCGTTTGCAGTTAGAACGCTGAGAGTGATGAAACACTGAAAAATTCTTATCATCCCGAAGTAGTATCTCTTAAACTCCGGCAATATCGCTACGATTCCAGACCTTAGATTGAAAATGCAATGGAAACGTTAACTACTGCTAAACTTAAGAAATGTAACTTTATCGATAAGACCCATTAATGAAATACCAGGCCGTTGAAAAGTAGCGGTCAAAACTTTTAAACAGAATCGAAAAAAATAAATTGAAACCTATACAGGTTGGAATAATAATTGAAAGCAATCAAATTAAACAATAGCAGTCCCTCGATCATCGGTAGCGGTGAAAGTGACCTGGAAGAGTTAATGTGGCTCTCACTGATATTCTCAATGTCAACTTCCTGTTGGTTGATGCGGAAGAAGTTGATCAGTCTCCACATGAGCACCTCTTCAACTTGCACGTTGATCGGTTTCATCGACACCAGGAATTGCTGTTCACCAAATTGAAAATCAAAAAAATAATTTTCATAATTACGTACATGATAGAAATCAAGAGTGTAACAAGGAAAGAAATAACGGAGAAAGAAACCTTGAATATTTGAGCATCCCACTGATGACTGGAAACTTTGTGTATGCAGATGTGCAACTGTGGCTTGCTGTCCGTCTCTGAGTCTCTCTTGTTGGATGGGGTGGCGTACAACAAGACGGGTCGGGGCGTGTCGAACAGCTGGTTGTCTATCTGTCATTCATGTCCACATCACCCCAAATCATATATATATATATATATATATATATATATATATATATATATATATATATATATAATAACAACATTTTTTAAATAATAACAATAATAATGATTACGGTAAAATATTTAAGATCAAAAACCTCTCTAGATAATTAGAGAAGCAGACCAACCTGAATTTTCCTGATATCAATCTGAAGGATCTGATCGGACTTGCAAAGGGAACATTCGAGGTGGGCGTCACTCATGAAGAGGTAGAGAAGTTCTTGCGGAGTCTCATCAACCAGAGAAACTCCCAGCCCCGGTAACCTCATCGAAACCTGCTCAGCGTCACCGAACATCATCATGAGTCATTGAAATAAACGCTATGAAACAATTCTGACAATTTTAAGATGAAACACAGGAAAGCTGGACAAAAACTATTGAAAACTATTGAACAAATACTATTAAAAATAGATACACATTACATAAAAGAAAGCTGAAAAAATAAATGGCAAGGAAGAAACAAAAATATTATCAGACGAAAGTTTTTTAAACCTCAAATTTTTGATTGCTGAAAAAAGATTGATCTTGAGGTTTGCCAGCATTAACAGACGTCTGACTCTTGATGGACTGCCGCTCCTTGCGACCCTGTACGAAGACCCAGCCATCGACGGCCTTGCTCTCGTAGTTCTGCCATCAAGTCGGTCAGGTATCGGAAACAGTAAATTCAAGTTCACAAAATAAACGAAGAAAAAGTAATTACAATAATACTAGTTTATATTACGAAAAAACTACTCAAATATAAATGCGATGAACGGCAGGGGCCGACCAAGTGACCCACCTCGTGCATGACGTCAGTAACTTGAAGCACCCTGGTAGGACCGTCGTTGAGAACTTTCACGCACAAGAACCCTGAACCTGGTTGAAGCTTCTCTCTGTGTATGCGCACGTGAGGCTGCACATTAGACGACGACGATGAGGAAGGCGATTTAGCTGACGATGATGCTGACTGAGATATCGGCGCCAGTATTGCCTGAGTGCCTGGCAGGTTAGGAAGTTGGCAGTTAAGCAGGTTAGGAAGTAAGCAAGTTATGCACGAGCGAAATGATAGCGGAAGTAATTTATGAAACCTTACGACCTCTGTGATCAATTTATAAATTGTAGAACAAATAATAATCATACATTCGAGCACGAAATAAATTAAATTTATCAACCAACCATCTCTCAATCCATAAACACCATCTTTCGGTTGCACGCATAAACTCCTCCTATCCCCACAGCACAAGTGACCGTCCTGAGGTGGCAAATTTTTATTTGCTCCATTGTCAAACTTTCATCATTGAGTTTTAATTAAAATATCGTTAAAATGAAACAAAACGACAAAAAATAAAATTAAAAAAACAACGATATCGTAACATGAAAACAACAACAAAACCGACAACACTAACAACATCAACAACAGCAACAACAATAACATTACAGCAAAGTGAGCTAACAATAATAAAACACAAGCACAGCAAACACATGACAATAAGACTACACAGAGGGGACAACAACTATACACAAACATGACAACAATACTGCACAAACATGACAATAACACTGCACAAACATGACAACAACACCGCACAAACATGACAATACAAACACATTAAAACAATGCGGGGCAACAATAAAGCAGCACTAGATAACATAAAAACCAAAAACGGTGACAACCCAAGAAAACTCTGACGAAAGAATAAACACACAAAAAATAACTTTCTGACGACAAGCACAGAACCGGCAATCATTCTGATAGCAACAGAGCAGCAAAACAAAACGAGCACAAAACAAAATATTAAAGAAAAAAGTGACGACGCACGATGAACTTCCATGTTTGCGTTGAAATTCTCTTCTCGTCAGGTTTGCGAATGGTGAGTGGCATTTCCTTGCTGGGCTGCAGTGCGATGTCCTTTATGTCGAGGACATAGACGGTGCTGGGAGTCGTGGAGAGGGATGAGAATGAAGAGGAAGAAGAGAAGGAAGATGAAGATTTTTTAAAAGCCGGATCCCGAGGAGCAGATGATCCTTCGTGCTCCAGTAGACCCTTGCTGGTCATCCTCCACAGTTGAGAACGTTTGCCTGCCTCCTTGTTTCAAAACAAACAACAATTTAATGATGATGAAATGTCAGATTTCAGTACTCAACAGTGTAGCGGAGGATATAAAAAGGAAATGACGTCATTAAGCAATTGAGGGATGATACGATAAATTTATGTATTAATGAAAAATTTTAAAAAATTCCTTGAAATAGAAAAAAACTGTTTGTATGAAAAAATAAATTAAAAATGATGAAACAAAAAGAAATGGAATCCACAATGGGCATCGTGTGAAACAAACTTTCTTTTTGAGGACAACCATTCCGGGAGATACAACATCCAGTACTAACTCCGGATCGAAGGATTTTTGATGATACGACGGCGATGGAATGGTGGATGATCGGTGGAACGACCAACCTCTCTGCTGACTGTACGACGCATGTGTTTGTTCATCTTTAGTCATCCAAATCAACACCACCAACACCATAGTTATTAGCACCAGTTTCAATATCACTAAAAACAACCATCCATTTATTTTAAATGCCAAACAATAAAAAGCAACAAAAAATTAAACTAGCCAATCCTTCATTTTATCGTTATTCAAACAATTGATCAATCAAACATTCAAACAATAAATATATAAGCTATTTTGAACAGGACATTAGCAGGTAATGCAGTCATGCTCAAAGGCTTCCTAATTTTTACATGCATTCAAAATGCACGGCCTTGTTGACTAAACATTGACAATCGAAACTCGAAATATAATTAAAATAATTTTTCAAACAAATCCTTACTTTTTGAAAGTCTGAGTGAAGGCAATGTAGATGAAGTTTTCATAGCAGAGTTTCTCAGCATCGCCCATCTTCTTCATGTCGTACGATGCGCTGGTGCCGCTAGGCACCCTCAACGTTATGTGGCCCGCCATGGTCGGCTCGTCCCAGGCATAAGGTACTGTGTTGTACATTATAAATGGGGTGAGTGAGTGAGAACGAAAAATAAACTTAACGTGTGAGGTTACGTTGTAAACCGTTGCACTGATTCATTCCCAAATTTGTAACTGTTGAACACTTCGCTACCATAATAAAATAAGTAAAAAATATTTGCAATTACGAAAAAATAACAACACCATGACATTATAATAATTGAATAAAGTTTACAATTGCGCTTATACTGTAATGAAAATTTACTTATTTCATTACAAAGAAATAATATTTATAAGCCAGGCGTGACTGGTTGAATTGTATAAACTTACTTGATGTTTTTGGCTTGACACAGATTTGAAGTCGTTGATTGTCAACTCTACTTTGATGAAACAAAACAGGCACCTTTAGGAATATCGTTGTAAAAACATCATTTCATTTTAACGGCTTTTTAAAAAAATAGCAGTAAAACTGGATAGATAACAGTGGATCACATCTACAAATAATAAAACCAACAAAAATAATATCATAAAATAATACAAATGTAAAATTAATTTATCTTTAAGTGGACTGACTTCAGAAAAGTTGTCGATGCGATAAGGTGCAGGCATGGAGTCAGCATTAGTGAAGATGACAAAGAATGCCGCTCCAACTAACACGACGTCTACGTGAATGAAGCAGCATTGATTTGTATCCGTCCTATTAACGTCCAAATCAAATTGTAGATTATTTGTTTTATTTAGACAGCAGATCAATGAATATACTAGTAACATTTATATTAAAACTTTTATTCCTTTTATTTGTTTTGTCGTTAGCACCCTTAACGTTTCAAATGCTATATATATATATCCAACAAAATCATATTGAAAACTCTTGTTGACACATCTGGTTTAATTTGAACATGTCTACAACCGATACAAATAAAATGAATAGAAATGAACGTACTAGAGTAAGAGAGCAAACCTCATATTGATGTGGAAAGAATCGACTTTATCAATCTGGAAGCCGCCCGACCAGTGACACCTGGGCTCTTCCATCACCCTCACACACAACAACGTGTCGAAATCAACACGTGACCAGTGGAAAGGCAGGACACAATTGGAGAGGGCACACAGGTAGTTAGATGTTGCGTCCTTTATACAAAATCAAATATTTGTTGCCGGCACACTTGGACAAAAGATATCAGTAAGACTCACTTGTTTCATGGTTTGGTGCCTCTGAGCGTACGCCAGCTTGTAAGTCGTCCTGTTGTCCAGTTGATACCTCGGAGAAAAAGTGCAGATGTTTGTGTCTGAGTATCTGCCCTTCCCCTGTTTCACCTCTATGCCGATGTTGTACACCCTTTCAAGCAAACATTTAAGCTTTCAACAGAAAAGAGAGATCCAGGGATTTTAAAAAAATGTAAGTTTGTTTTCAGCCTCAGTGCTGTAACTTGTATTAATTATTTTTACATACTTTACACAGTGTTTAAAATTACAAGCAGTTGTGAAAGCAAAGAAGCAGCGAGCAAACGAACCAATCGGGTCGATCGAGCTGAGCAACTCGAACTTGCCTGACGGTAACTCCTCGCTCTAACATGAATCTTGGACACCTGTCAACAAATTGTGAATCAAAAATATTTTCATCTACACAAAAAATCAACACATTCCTTGCTTCAAACTTGAACGAAGTAATTTCATTGCATGTAACGCATAGATTAAACACGCTTATACCGTACACTGATCTGGAAGATTTAAATAATCGGGCAGATTACAGAGTTCCAAAATTTTTCAAAATTTCATAAATGTTTCGTCAAATAAAAAAATCTCTTTTTGCAGCTGTCTGTAATGATTTTTATAAAAAAAGACAGCAAAAACTACGGAACGTGGAATTACATTTAACTGAACACAAAAGAGCAACTATAATTGTTTGCTATTAGAAATAAATACGCTGAGAAGTACAAGCAACAAACATCATACCACGATGGGGTTTTTCCTTCTGGATGAACCGAATTACCCAACCTCATGGTACATCTATCGTAATGAATGAAAAAAGGAATGAATGAATGAATGAATAAATGAATGAATGAATAAATGAATGAATAAATAAATGAATGAATAAATAAATGAATGAATGAATGAATCAATCAATCAATTAATTTTCCTTGCTGTTATATATATATATGTATATATAATGCCTCAAATGTAATAAATAGTTAGAATAAAAAGCCTTATCATTATTTACATTAAAAGAAAAAAATTGACAACATGATAAGGGTTGTCATCTTACATAGATTGTTAATGTGAGCGATTTGACATCTCAATATAAAATATTGAAGAATGAAATCTAGACTAATCATTCGTATAAGATAATTAGCCGAACATGTAGAGAAGGAATGGCGACTAACAGTTCATAGAGAGTCTTATCAGTGAAGGAGAAGAGAAGTGGGCTGACACTTCTGGCGAGTTCGTGCTCGTCAAACTGACCTGCCGCCATGCTGGCTTCGTGTTGTTTAAATATCAGCGGAAGTCCTGATTTGTTGACCAGCCAGTAGGGCGATGAAATCGTCACCTTGTGCGAACAATTATTTTCCATGCAATGTTGAATATCAACAATTTGTTTCCATTATAAACGATTGAGAGATAAAAATAAATCTTCAAAAACATTATTTAAAGATGAATTAATTGACAGTTATACAAAACTTCAAATTAAACGTGATTGTTTGAGAGTAATCTCTAGAAAGGCACGTAAAAAACCATCCACAATCTATAAGTAAGAACATTACGAACAAATTAACATGCATGACCTATGTAGAAACTTGCAATAAACAAATTACATTTTAAAAAAGACAAAAAGAGATGTCCATAAGAATGACGGGCGATGTTTCCTCACCTTCAAACCGCCAGCCAAGCCAGCCTTCACCTTGATGCCAAGTGACAAGGGCCTGTCCATGACGTCACAGAGTGTCAACGAAACTTTGTTGTCCACAGTGCCCACAGGAATTGTGAGGTCCTGACATTTCGTGAAGTTCTCCAGGGTCATCGTGAATCCAATGTCCTTGCTGAGGTCAATCTGTATATAATTTACCATTTAATAGTAGCGACGAATAAAATGAAAAAAAATGAATACATAAAATTTTTTATTTTTCGACACTCATCGCTTCACTAAAAAGGATGATAAACATAAAAAATAATATGAATGTTTACTAAACTATTTAAACGAAACACAATCGATAATAATGAGTTCACAAACAACATTCATGAAACTAATGGAAGTGCATAAGCTCATGAGCAACAAGGAAACATCCAATCAAAAGTTATGATCAGTGAAAAGAACGAACCTCCATCAAATAAACCATCTTGCCAGGTTTGATTGACATTTGTGGCAGCCAGGACGATCCAATGTGCTTTAGTGAGCAGTTTAAATCAACGGGCAACAAATTCTCAACTCTCATTGGAGGGCAGATGCTGATCATGTGACCTGCATGATTCATATCATAATTAATTATTCATAATGTTAATTTTACGCTAACGCTACAAAACATATATACTTCAAAATTGATGTAAATAAATTTCTGCAACAAAATCTGGGTGAACATCGTACAAAACTTCTGGAATTAATTCTGACCGGGTGGCGGGAATCTAGAATGAGATGATGTGGGAGACTGAGAAACATTCCTGTTGAACAGCTCATCAGGTGGGTAGGCCTGTCTTTCGATGCATACACAAAACCTTCGTGTGAACAATTAAAGTTAGCTGCTACAGAATGAAGGTCAAAATTTTAGTCTTAAATTAAAAGTTCCATCAAAAAGTAAAAAATTTGAAGACGTTCTTGGATGATAGGGTCTGTCAATAAGTATTTAAAGCATGAAAGCCAAAAGGTTTAACATGCTCTTAAATTATAAATTCTCTCAATAAACATTTGAAGTATAAAATTATAAAGATCAAATAAATAAGTAGCAAAAATGAAAAAAACATATTTCTCATAAACAAATAAAAAAATCAAAACCAATAAAACATCGCATAAAAAGCCTCATAAAAATCGTGAAGAAAAGAAGGGCAACAAACAGTACAGACCAGAAACAAAAACAGAAGTAAGAACAGAAGCAAACACTTATGAGGAAGAAAAAGCCTACTTGAAAAAATCCTGTCCAGTACCAAGTGACGCACACGAGTTTAGCGAGTTGTTCTTCTTGTCAGAATGGTTCGTGAAGGACTGCCAAATGATTGCATCTCTGCACCAGTCCATCATGGACCTCAGCGGTCTGATCCAGATTTTTGAGAAGACAAAATGCAGTGGCACAGGACTCTTGCTGAATGGGTTCACCTTTATGATGCTAATCTTCGCTGGGTTACAAAATTAACCGTTGGTTGCATTGCTGTAATAATTAATTATGATATAAATGCGTTACGAATATTGCACCTCCTTCATCATATCTTGATTGTCATCATAAAAGTTATCATTTTTGTCGGCCTCATCATCATCATCATTATCATCCTTATCAACATCATAAGTAATCAAAATTTAATTAATTATTTTCAAATCAATTTGTCGTCAAAATCGCATCATTTACTTCGATTCCACTCCCTCCATTCAAAGGAGCAAACAACAAAACATTTTAAGAGTGTAGGTACAAAAAATACTGTTACCAACTGTTGAGTCTGCTCAGCCCCAACAAAATGTTAGCAAAAAATTTGCGATTTCATCAGAAATTAAACCCGAAGTTTCCAGAAACAACGACAATTTTCAAGACAATCTTCATTCAACATTGTTATCGTAACCAATGTAGGTGCCAAATAGGTACCATTTGTTTGGCTTTCCAGTTTGACTTCAATAGGCTCATCTAGTTGATTGTTGATAAGGATAGCCGACCTGACTCTAATAACTTTCCTGGCACTTCCTTCTATTGAAACGTCAAACACCAAACGAGCGTGGGGCCATGTCTGAAACTTTAATACAAAACTCATGTTCATGTGTTCGAGGCTTATAAACAACTGACAATTTCAACATAAAAATCAAAACGGACAAACAACTGCACGGTTGTTGAATGACAAATATGGCGAAACTCACGATTTTCGATGTGTTGTCGATGTCAGACGATGCGTGTCTGAAGAACGTGCCAACTTTGTCAATGGAGACTGGTGAGATCTCCTTCCAGCCTTCCACTTTTATTGCTATCTGATTGACTTGCAGGCCATGCGAATCCTTTCGAAATATTTATATATTCAAATAATCTAAACACGATATTAAAAATATTTCTCAATTTTACTTTATGTCGTATTTTGTTCCTTTCAGCCACAAGGAAAGAGACTTCACTACTGTCCGATGCTCTCTTCCAAACGCTGTTTGACTTTTGAAACTCACTCGATAGATTCATGGTATATCTGTAAATAACACCAAATTTAAATTACAACCGATACACGCATGTGCATATATAACGATGTGCATCATTGACCCATGTAAAATTTCCGCAATTTACCAGTACTTCAATAGAAAAACTGCGAATAGATTGGTGGTACCTCGACGGTGAAGATGTGAAGACGGAGAACATGACGTCACACCCGACCTGATTGCGGAGGGTGAACGGAATGAAAGGCACTCGACGTCTCGAATTGTACTGACCGCTGCTGTTGCTGGTCGAGGAATGATGATGAGTCGTTGGAAACCAATCAAAAATATGTGTGAAAAAAAGTTTGCAAAATTGGTAACATTTCTTCGTAATTATCAGTTAATAATTGTTGTTGTATGCCATGCAAAAAAAAAAATAAAAGTTTTACAAATGCGTTAAACTTGACAATTTGAAAAGAAAAAAATTAGATACAAAAATAAAAATTATTTCGTCAAAAATTTGATACACATAAAATAATCACTTGTAGTCCTCCATCCACTTCAGCTTCGTCTTAGTGTAGAGGTCCAACAATGTTCGTGTGACATTCAGATTGACGATTTCAGATGGATTGGCAGCTGAATTATGTTTAAAAAATGCTGTCAGAAATATAAAGTACAAGGAATCAGAATTATCAGTTAGTTAAAAGCAAGTCTCGGAAAATAATATATAGCATATTTACAAAACAACACACACACACAGATGTGAATATATATTATAACATATATTCATGTATAACTAATGGAGCCTGTTGAAAATCATTAACATATATTATTTGTAGGTTATACCTTTGACATCAATATACATGTTTCCTTCATCTTCAACCACACCCTTCTGCCATTCCAATTTGCACCTGGATAAAAATATTACAACAGAGTTTAAAACGTATGATTATGTAAATATAAAAAACCAACTGGAAAGAATGTTTAAGAATTAAAACAAATCCTCAGCCTACCCCCACTTTTCTAGGAATGGCTCCCACCCGGAAAGAGCCCTGTTGTAATAATCTCCGTACAACTTTATCCTGGCTTTTCCTTGCGGATGTGGCAGGAAGTTGTGGAGAACATAAATATTGTAGATGGTTAGCTCAACCAGCGGAACATCGGCATCCAAGCAATCATCGATCAAGCAGATCTGTATTGTACCCTCCTTCAACTGACCATTTTGAAATACAAAGTTAAATAAACAATTTGTATGTAACACCAACAGTTAAATTCAGATTAATATAAATGAATTGAATTTAGATAAAATGAATTATGCCTTGCGAATTTTCAAAAAACAAAAATAAAGTTAAAAAATGAAAATTTAAATCTCATAAACGAGTATTAAATACTTAACATGCAAATTAAAAATGACCTCAAAGCCAGATATATCAGAGAAAATTGGTTTGTACTCCTCATTGTTATCATTATCATCATCATCATCAGTCTTGACGACAGGAGATGTGTGACCCGACAGCCACATAACAGCCTCATCCAACCTGCCCTGGAATCTCTTCAAGGCATCCATACTGTCCTGCTCAGAAAATCCCAAACTTTGAAGTTTGCACATGGACGACTCTGCTTTCGTATAATTATTACAAATCAATATTATTATGGTAATCATTACAAATACAATATATGACAAATTTAATAAAGTCAAAAAAAAGATAATTCACAAGTAAATGCAAAGTGATTACCGTAAGCAGATTGAAGATCCCCTGAAATGCCAATGTTGGCTTTTTTGTTGGCTTTGGAAGCCTGAGAGACTTGATGCGGCATGGAGTTGATGATGGATGTAAACAACTTGATGTCATTGTATGAAAGACGAATGTTTAACGTTTGGAAGCTTATCTGCCAGTTAGGACAGTTAAATCTAAGTTTAAAAAACTGTAATAGAAAAAAAAACAAAACATCTTCGTCCAAAATAAAAAATGTATTTGTACATTTTTATAACATCTATATTGACATAAATTGTGGTCTTAAACAACCTCTAAAACGGGTCTGACGGACTGAAGCTTCTTGGTGGCTTCCAACAATCCGGATGACTGCATGCTGGTGGTCTTGTCGATGGTGTTGTTGTTCGTATTGAGTTCCAGGGTTAACAACATAGGATCAATGATGGATAGGGCTGTTTCATCTTCGGCAGCCAGGCAGCAAGAGAACACTTCCATGTTCTGCAGACTGCAGGACAGGGGTCGATCGGACTGAGGTTTGCAAACAATCACTGTCGTACCCTGGTTTAAAAATAATAGGCCGACTAGTATGCACAATAATGTAGTAATATTGAAAATAAAAAGTTTCTAATGAAGTTTAAGTGAAATTCAAGTGAAATTCAAACAACCAAAATTCAGGCTTTTACAAAACATTAAATAGCTTTTGTAAACAATAAAACGATACACTAAACTATATAATTGTTAGCACCGGTTAATGTCAAGTTGGAACAAGTTACTCAGTAATTCTTAACCCCAATTTTCAATTTTATTTAAGCTATAAAAATGAAATATAAAAAAAGACTTTCTGACTTTTATTATGACGGCATTTGTGTCTCTGTCGCCAGCGTCTTCCACAACGACAAGTTCTGTGTCGCACATGTTCAACGTCACTTCCAACTTTCTTTGCTTATCCTGACACGGACAAACATAAATTTGAATTTTATGTAAATCATATAATTATTTCATTCAGGTTAACTAGCAAACTTATAAACATGAAAAAGGATAATAAACAAACGAACAAATGATTTAACGAACAATTGAACAAACAGATAAATGAACAATTGATCGAATGAACGAACAAATGAACAAACAAACACCTACTTCTTCCATGACACTGATCCTCTTAGTTATGATACTCCCACTTTGAGTTGAACCGTATCTCGCCTCTCTGTCCTTCCTCTCTTTTTCATCTCTCTCTGCAAAATTTATAATTTAATAGCCAAATTAATACATTAAGGTCACCATCCGTGTTTAACATGCTGCAATCACTCAAAAAAGTTTTCAAATATAATCCTAAGTCAGAATAACTTCATAAGCATTGACCACATTTAGAAAACAGGAATTCAAACAAGCGTAATATAAACGAAACATTTAAAATTAATTGATCACTGCTGTAATGAAAAGAGCAATCCCATGCTTAAGCCGTGCTGCAATCATTCAGCCAACAAACACGTCACTGGTTTAATGAATCGTTCAACAACATTACCTTGTTGGAAAGGATCTTCAGGCGATAGCTGCAAGAAATTTTTAGTGGCAAGCAGCCAATCAAATATGCCCATCATGCGAATGTTGTTTAGAAGGATGTGATATTTTTCTGAATCTCTGTTCATCCTACATCTGCATTCAAACCTCAACGTCTCGCCTTTCGTTTCCGAATCGGGAGAGGCTCGAAGGATGTTCGAGAAGACGTTTGGTCTCACATTCACTGGATCATCTGGAGTGAATGTTTAGAGACAAATTATTTTTATGTTAATTCATATCCAGATCACTTCATTAAACCCTTCTAAAAAACAATAACCCCATCAAACAAAAAAATGTTGAATGTGAAAACAAACATCGCTACAATCTATTTTATGGAAGAATAAGTAACCTAATCTACCTAGATATCTGCTGTCAATGCAGTTGATCTCATGACACACGAGACCAATGTCTTTCGATTGATCGGACCGAGTGACAAAGTGAAAACTTGATTTAATAAGGTCCACGATGGCCAGAGATGTTTCAGCTGATTGTTTGTTTTTTGCGTCACAATGCATGTCATCATGATCCTGTTCGTCAGGTGATTGTTTCAAGTCCGACTGTGTTGGAGATGTTAGTTTCGGAAGAAGCTGTTTAGCAGATGTGGTTAATTTTGTTATCTGGATATCTGGCTTTGAAGCAGATTTACTTTCAACCTGTTTAGAAACAAAATTATCTATTTCTGAATGATTTTTGACAGTTTTCTGATCTGTTGCTGCTGCTGTGACATTGGTGTTGACTGCGGTGGTTGTTTTCGATTGGGCGAGTCGTATATGTGGAAAACTTTTTATATTTTCCTGCGGTGAAGTTGAAGTTGTCTTTGAAAAGTCCTGCTGATTTGGTGCTTTATCGAAGTTTCTTTGTATAAGTTCAATTTGCACATTCTCCAAATCCAAATCAATAGTAAGGCTCACGTACGGTTCCTCTGCCAACACAGACTGTAATAAGTAGATCAAATGCTACAGTCTACAACAGTCCAAAACTCTACATTAAAATTATATTCAACTAACGTGAGTTCTTGGATCTTTCATATGGGATAAAAATTGTGGGCTGAAGTCATCCAACTGTTCACCAAAATTGTGAGCCAGCAATCCTCTAACGAGCTTGTACTGCTGTGGATCAACAGTCATTTGAACGGAAGACAAACAGGCTTTGATGCTCATATCACTGACCGATCTGCTGATATCACCATCCAAGTTGCGTTCAACAAGCAGCTTCAGCTGACACTTTTGCTTCAAAATCCTGCGTGGCTGTTTATCATTTTCAAGTTGATTACTGACATTTGGTGATAAATATCGTTATAAATGATGATCTGAAATAGGATTTGGTATAAAAGTTAAAACAACAATAGCGCCAGTTCTTTAGCAGCTGACTTAATAAATGACAGCCCAGTGGCCTTTTAGATGCGGAGAGAGCATACCAGAACTGTCAATGCTAAAACGCATTAATTCCAAACGTTGAAAACGTCAATCAACTCTATCATGAGTCGTAAACCAATAAAAATTACAACTGATTGAAAGCAAATAGTCTGTAGCAAAGCTGAAATCGTAAAAAATACTGGCCCATTCAGAATATTACAATGAATTCTAACTTATTACTATATTTACATATTTACAAATATATAAAGATTACAGGACAATAAATTCACATACTAAAAAAATCTGAAAACTATAAACCAAAGATAAATTTCACTTGCCTGCCTTCTGATAAGAAAATTTTCAAAAACAAAATCTTTCAAATCTTTTTTCTCAAAGTCCGTTCCATTCTTTTCACTTTTGTTCTCCTCTAGTTTGTTATTTGTTAATTTTTCCTTCACATCAAACTGGTACAAATTTCCTTCTTCGTCAGTTTCGTAAGGCATCCACAGAGCTGAAAAGACTTCCACATCGCTTAGGTTGACATCCATAACATCTAATAAGCATTTTGTGACAGGAGGTTTTGTGTAGGTCTGATGTTGCTGCTGCTGCTGATGCAATTTCTTCTCTTCTAAATATGTTCTGTCGACATGATCATGAGAATTTCTAGTCGAAGAAATATTAGATGAGAAAGATCCGTCCATGCCCAACGATTGATATAAACTGTTGAGAGCACTGACATTCTGCATTTGCTGCTGCTGCCTCGTCAACTGGGGACTCTTCGCATCTGTTTTTATCTGATAACTCAGTGGAACATCAGTGAAAGATACAATATTGTGCTTTAAATTTCCACCACGTTCTTCCCTACAAACATCATTCGTCTCATTGTATCCAGAAAATAAGAATTTGTTTCTGATCTGCAGAGTACCAAAATCCATAACTAGAACATCTCTGGACCTGGAGCTGTGAGGAATAAACAGAACAGGAGCTCCTGCATCGATTATCATTTTTATGCGAGCATTGTGAGAAGCGACTTCAGGTATCTGGTTTGCAATTGAAAGAAAACAAATTAGTTTTGCTTGACTTTAACTGCATTTTGAAATAAAAAAATAAAAGAAACCTTTTCGTTCAATAATAAGAAAACGTTTATGACACATTATATCAATAGCTACGCTGAATATGCGCAGTGTGAAATAATTTTGTGAAAGCCAAATAATTTCAGCTGGCCAACCTTGACGCCTTGTGAAGCTGCTCTAGACCTATTGAGCATATCTTGAAGTTGGTTGAAGTTCTGCATGAAAGCAATGAGTTCCTGGAAGAACCTGTGCGTGTGTATGTAAAGAACTGAGGACATCTCCATCGTCACTTGGACATCATACTCTCGCAGAAGGTTAGGATCTGGAGTGCTATATCTAAGAAAAAATAAGAATCGTCATCAAATAATCAGCAATAGAATTATATTAAAATCATTATGATATAAAAAATATAAATAAAAATGCGAAAAATTTGTTCCAAATGACCAACGTCCTAGGTCAAATCATTAATAAAACGACACAGCTGCTTTCCGAGAAGTGAAAAAGTTAGTAAATTTATTAAAAAAGGAATAAAATATCCCGATTCTTTCATGCATCGTAGATATCAATTTCAATTAAAAGATGAGTGAAACGTGCACTTGAAGTAAATTTTGTGAGAAAAGTCAAAAAATATGTAGTAAAATTTTCGAAAAAAAGCTTTAAACTTGAAAAATTAAAACAAACTCCAAAGGAGTTAATTAGTTTGTATAGAAGAAATTTAATTGGGGGGTTAAAAAAACAGAGAGATCCTGGTTACTGTTTCATTTATTTCGGCGACTCTAACACGTTTTCAATCGGTATAAGTCTCAGCACATTATCATGACTAATAAATTAATTATTATGATAGCTACTGACTTAAAAACATGAAATTTTAAAGCCGTATTCCCCGTGGTTTTGAACTTTTCAAAGTACATTTGTCCTTCTGGAGAGCAATCAAAAATGGACATACTTCCTAGATGACCATCCACCTGCAACCAAAACAATCAGGCAATGATCATCACAAAGACATTGAAACAAAAATCCTATTTAAGAATAGATAGCATAGGTATTACTTCACCAACAAAAATTTTTTTAAAAATATGTATTTTTATAATGAATGCATTTTCAACATCACATTATCTTTGCCATCGTTACGTAAAAATACAAAAAGAAAGTAATATCATCTAAAATATAATTTATATTTCTAACAAATTAAAGTTTAAGAGTTAAAATGTTGTTAATGTAACCCATAAAAAAAAACACAACAAAATCCTATCACAAGCTAAAAAAAAAGAATTCAATTACATCTGATGGAAAAATGACAAACGACAAACTTCCATGTTCCCTGAGAGAGTAACGGCGTGACAGTTGAACTGTGATATGTTGATGTGGGCTAGTTCGTAAGTTTTCTTATTGAGCACCAGTGAGAAACTTTGGATCTGAATCTGAATGTCCATATTGTTCTCGTCCGTTGAGATATTCAACACGTTTTTTAGAGAAGATGCACCTAGGAAAACAAAAAAAAAATTAGAAAATATATTACATATAGGTCAAACGACATGGTTTTTCAACATAATATATTTTTTAATATAATTGATAATGTTTTACAACTATTATATTATTTAAATTACAAAAAATTTTGACTAAAAGCAAATTAAAAGTTAATTTTGCCACAAAAGTTATTATAAAGTACGTTAACATTACTATTCTAAATGTCATCTCATCGATCAAACGCAAACTAATATAACTGTAAACAAATTACTTTCCCGGATTTGTTTAGCATCATCACCGTTGTTGTCAGATTTTTTAAAACTGGAGACCAGGCTTGCATCACTCTCCTGCACCTTGCCACTGACTCCTAGAAACTCCAACAGAAGCACCCAGGCTTGTAAGTTTATGAAGGTCTCCAGACTGTTCAGCTCGATCGCAGCTTTGTAATTTATCTGATTTTAAACAAAAGTTTAATAAAAGATGTCAGATTTAAAAACTTGAATACCAGAAAAAACTCCGATAATAAACTTATGATGTTTCAGCGCTCTATAGAATAATAAATATAAAAATATGAAATTAATAACTTTTTTGTATTTGCTTTCAAAAACAGGGCACTGTTTGCTCAGTTTGAAAATTTTTGCATGGACCAGACATACTTGTGGTTTGGTTTGTCTTGTGTTAGTTTCTGAGACACTGTTAATGTATTTAACAATTTTTAAACATAAGAGCCATTCCCTGTCAACTTGAACCATGGTCCACAACCAACCATCTTTAATATTTTTTTAAATTTCAACAGGAAGTACCTCAATGATTTCATCCACAAAATAAAATTTTTATAAAAATATTTCAAATATTTTTCAAGTTGTGAAGATTTTTGTAGCATCACCTCCAATTTTTGAGTCAATTTTTTTCACGGACTAAAAAATTATTTAAAACTCGATGAAAAAACTTACAACGATAACTTCATATAAGTGAAAGCGTTTTCTAATAGATAATACAATCCGCTATCATATTCTGCTAAAAATCTCAGGGTTTTTTAACAAAATATCAAAAAATACTTTAAAAATCGATTTAGTTTTAAACTTGACATAAGCGAAAATGTTTTCTAATTGAAAATTGAACCCGCTATCATATTCTGTTAGCAATCTCAAACAACAGTTCAACTTTTTTTGGCAAATTTTTTTCCATTAGAAATGGCCTTTTAACACAATATTGAAAATTGTTAAGAAAAAAACTTTAAAAATCGGTTAAAAACTTGAATGCAGATTTTAACGAAATTATGTTTATCAATTTAGACTATAAAGTACTTAAAATACAAAATAAACAATTATTTTGCAATAGATTTTCAGCTATAAAGCAACGAAAACCTGAGAGTATTGAAAAAAAATCAATTTTTTTCAAACATTTGTTGTACAAAGTATCTTTTGATTCAGAGATATAACTTCTATATGTTCTGTTATTACATTGTTCGGTTAATTTGTACAGAAAATGTCACTAAAGTACATTGGCTAGTTGGAGAGATATTGCGTTCTACATAGGTACAAGATTCACAAGATTTAAAAATATTCACACAAAAATTGGAAAGTGGTGTCACAAAAATCATCATAACTTGAAAAGTAATTGACATGTTTTTATATAAATTTCATTTTGTCAATGAAATACACTTAGATACTTACCGTCAAAACTAAAAAAAAAATTAGAAATGGTTTGGCGTGAATTTTTTTTTAAATCGTTCAATCTGACAGAGAATGACTGATACAAAAATTTTGAAGTTATATTCATACATTTAAAACAGTTTTAACTAATAAATCATTGAATAACATTAATAATACTATCTCATATATTTCAAATATACTGAAAAAAAGAAACGTTAGGAATATTTAGAAGCAGTGCAATCACCTTTTATGAAGAACTCTCTTGATGTCACTGGCGTCATCAAATGCTTTTCTATCAAAATTGAACGCAAACTGGGATTGGAAGCTGGTTGGAAGAGATGGCGGCAAACAGGGAGGTGGAAGGTCAATAACACTCGACGGACAGGATTGGGATAAGAATTTGTGGGTCGATAGTAATGGCGATGCATCCCTCCCAAATTGATGTGAAGAGGTTGATGACGCTGTGGTCTTCCTTTGCGATTTTTCGTCTCTAACATTTTTATGACTAGATTGATAAGACGCCATTAAAACCCTGAAAATTAATTATTATTCAATTCAGAGAAAAAAACAAGGAAACAAATTTATAAGCAAATTAAATAAACATTCAAAAGTTCATTATAGAAAGAGTATATTAAAATGGCATCACGATACTTTGGTTTTGATCCTAATAAATCTTCAAGAAGCATGGACCTCAGCTTGATTTCGTAAACTGAGAAATATGAAACATTGGCGATATCTGCAGTAAAGTTCTGTAGTGATAACTTTATAATCTCTTTGTTCTCGCTGGTGTCTCCTTTGAAGACGACATTGAACAGGGGCATGACTATACTTGCCCTGACAACTTGTTGAAATTTGTGCGGTTCATCTTGTTTTGTGACACGTTGCTTCAAAGATTGTTTGATGTTTTGAGGCGGGCTTTCAACATTTTGAAAGGAAAAAAATTGTTTATGCTTAGATTTTTGAATAGGCGGAATGACGAGTTCTCTAGCGTTTGATTTACAAATTTTTACTTCCTCTGTGTTCTGTTTGACGGAAAAAAATTGAATAAAAGATATTTTTATTTGAAGATTTAATAGAGTAGAAAACATATTACAACTTGGTTATTGTTGTTAATAGCTACATTGTCAAGCGTCTTTAAAATCTGCTGGTAGATAACTTTTGTTAGAACAACTTTCAAAGGTGATACTTTGCCAGATATTAAGATGTGCTTGTTGAAAGTTGCATGAGATGATGACACTGACGCATTGGCAAGGTTATCAGAATGTTTTCTGTGGTCGGCATAATCCAGGAGATCGTTCAACAAAGAATCGTTTGGTTTCGGTAATTTACAGGTGTGTATAGCAAATTTGAATCCTGTGTCATGCAATATGGGGAATCCCTTGTAGCAACTTGCGTCACCATCTTTATTGTTGTCCTTCTTAGTAAGGTCGCAAGAATACATTGAAATGTTTGAAGAATCGATCGTTACAACCTGTTATGAGTACAAGTTGATAACTATCGTATTTAAAAACACAACGCCAAACTGACTAACCAGTGATTTGGCTGTACAATCTTTGAATAAATCAGTGTTACTCATTTTGTTGCCATGCCTTGTGACCTTGTCTTGACTGTCATCCAAAGCAGCATGATCTCTGTCATTGGACAGAATCATTTTCCCAAGATGTACACTCAATATCTGAGAGCTGTTCGGCTCTTTGAGGAACATGAGGATGGGAGAATCGATACTTGTGTAAAATTTCATCGATGAGTTCGACGTCGCGGGGGATGCAGATGCTGCTAATGACGATGCCTCCTCGTCTTTTGAAGTTGAACTGTTCAGGGGAGAGCAACCATTCAAATGTTTGTTGCAGGCTATAGGTGAAGAACGAGAGATCGAAGCAAAATCTCCGTTTATGAGCGGATGGCTGATACGGATATAAAAAAATTATAGTTAAACCTCAACATATTAGAAATGTAACACTTTAAAAACTTTAATTAGTGAATAAAAAAAAAATTGAAAAATTTGTTGTCGTACTCCGGTAGAATGGTTTCTTCTTCTAACTTCACCAATCCAACGGCGAGCTCAGTGGCAACATTGCTGATTGAAGATCTAAGTTGTGTTAGATAATCTTTGAAATCTGTAACGCATTGTGACAACTGACAGATGAAAGCAGGAATGTGAATGTATTTGACACTTGCCATTTCTAAAATTAGTGTGGTTGAAGATGATAGGTGCGTCTTGCAGTTATCATTCGGTCTTGTTGGAGATGTGAGAATGCCTTTGTCATGTTCAGCTGGAAAAATGATGTTGAATTTAAATGCGGACTCTGAGACGGGCTCAAGTTTAACGTGAAGTGCTTGTTTTCTTGCCGATGGCAAAGATGACGTTGCAGATAACGCAGTTGTTGATAATGACGACTGTGATGGCATACGTGATGTCAAGGTGGGTGATGATGCTGTGACGTGCTTCCTTGAAATGAGATCTCTGTTGTCCTCATACACTGTGCCACATGACATGACGTACTTGAGATTTTGGTTGGTAGATGTCAAGTCTCTAATATGAAATCCATTCAAGCAACCGTTTGCCTCGGTTCGTAAACCTAATTTATTAATTCAAAAAATTTACTCCAAACCAGAAAAACAAAACAGTGATGGGTGAATACAACCTAACTACACATTAATATAATTTTAACAGACTGCTTAAGTTACTGGTAAGAAAATGAAGTAGATGGCTAACCAATGTTTAAGTAAATGAGAGCATCGTTGAGCGTGATGAGAGCCACCTTCTTTGCTTTTTCACCTTCGAAACTGACGAGCATCATGTTCAACTGCCCGAATCGAGACCTAACTTTCATTTTCCTATTGTTGGTTGGAGTTGAGGAGTTGTTGGGTGGTGTTGAAAAGTTGTTGGTTGGTGTTGAAGAGTTGTTGGCTGGTGTTGAAGAGTTGTTGGCTGGTGCTGAAGAGTTGTTGGCTGGTGCTGAAGAGTTGTTGGCTGGTGCTGAAGAGTTGTTGGTTGGAATTGATGAACTGTTGGCTGGTATTGAAAAGTTATTGGGATTATTGAAATTCTTTTTGTGGTCCTCTTCATCGCCCTTCACCTCGTGTTGGGATAGCGCTGATGTTGCGAGGTCATCCAATAATCTTCTGTCCTGAAATTTTTAAATAACATTTTTGCAATAAATCAACCGTTTTAGATGACATTTAAAGATGTTCTCAACAAATATTTACAACACATATCAAATATGAATAAAAAAGTGTTTGTGAATGAAAGAGTTTGCAAAAAGGACAACTAATTTGTTTTATTAAAAAGAAAAAAATTAAAGCAATGCCTCACCTGAGATGGTGTCACCAGCGAATTCTCCATGATGGTTGATGGTGACAATGGTGAGACTGAGGTAGATGGAAGGTCGGAGGACTCAATGACAACTTTGAAAAAACTTATCATCTCAGCGATTGTTCGCTGGTTTGCTGGTTGGAAATGTAATAAAAAATGAAACGTTCAGGTGTTATGATTCATAAACAAACATGTGAGAAATTAAAAAACCCAACAAATTTCTGTCACAGCATGTTATTTAAAATTGCGATTGATAAAGGCTGAAAAGGTGAAGTAAAGTGATGCCTTTGAATATAAACAATCAGTCTAGATGAATGGAAATTTCAGAAAATTAAAAGGTATGCACGTAATCTGGTAGATTAAACAGTGAAAAGTACACTTCAAAATCGAAGCGAAACCAAAATTTGCAGTGCCAGTACTAATCTGAATGCCAGCCAACAAGAAACATAAAAACCTCAAAACCATGCAAGATGGTGATGACTGGCAATAAACTGAATGAACTTCAACCAAAATTTCATTCAAAGTTATTTTTCATTTTTCGAATAAATTGAAATGTACAAATTTTATAAAATAAAAAGACCATCTTAATTAAGCAACCAACCAACCAACCAATCACATCCATGGAACTGAAGTTAAAGTCGATGTTGACATCATCAGCACCATCGCCACCGTCGTCGTCATTGTTGTCTACGGGTGAACTTTCCGAACCATCATGCTTCCCCTCATCTCCTTCTTTTAACTCTTCGCACTTGATGTTCTTCTTGATGTCGATGGTTAATTGGATCAATGACTCCGAGAATTCTGATGATCCCGTGAAACTTGGAACGGATGAGTTTGGAAAAGTACTTTGATTTGGAATGGCTGAAATTTGCAACAAATTTTAATATATGTGTTTATTTGAGAAAACAACGCATAAGAACGCATTAATAGATATACTGATACGAAGTATTTGTTCTCTGATAACGACAGCAATGCTTTCCATTCTACCTTCCATTGTTATTCATCTTAGGTGGCAAGATGGCCTAATTCATCAGCTCCTGCTTCCATACTACAGTGGCCGGGTTTGAAATAAAAAACAGCCTTGTTTATCAAACTAAAGTTCATTGTCTGTGCCGCGGTTGATGTTTTTTTCTCTGAATTGCTACAGAATAAGCTAATAATAAATAAAAATATCTATTTCACACTTTAAAATTAATTCATATGTAGATACCAGCCGAGAAATTGTTTCTCTGAATTTCACATATTTCGCTATTTTCGAGCACATATTTTGGCTCGAAATTGAAGCTTATTTTGTAGCTAAGTACATTAAATTCCTAATATTTTACTTTATTCTATTAAGTTCATCCTGTTTGAATGTTCACAAAAAGAAATAAATAAAATGATTTTTCTACAAGTTGATAAACATGAAATAACGAACCTTTTATTGCGGAGTTTAAATATGAGTAGCCAGCAAATTTGTTCGGACTGTTGTAGAAAAACGCATTGACGTTGTAGTTAGTTTTCTTGTTGCTGTTCAGATCAGTCGCCTCCTCACCGTCTCTACAACTCAGTAAGTTGCTGGCAGAATATAAGATAATTTATTATGAAGCAATTTCAACTCAGCAATATTATTATTATTATTATTATAAGAAAACTTGTATAGCGACATTTATAGAACTACCCAAAGTCGCTATCCAACATAACCAAAAAAAATTTTTGTCCATTTAAGTGATCAAACAAAAACATAAATATTTCGAAAATAAACATAAGTATACATTGTAAAAAGAACTAAAACTAAACAGATAAATCCTTTAAACTCATGCACAGATGCACACATATACTCTCGACCATACCCAATCACTCAAAGTAATGTAACAACCATTTAAGAACCAAGCAGCAACCATTTTAAACCAAATCATAGATACATTCATCCACACTTTATCCACACCAATCACACTCAATTACGCTCAGAAGATGCACGATAACATATCATTCAGAACAACCAACAGATAAATACCCAACCACCAGCACAATAATTATAAATCGATTCAAATTATTAGAAACACACGAAACACACACATCTCCTCACATCCAAAACACATTCAACGTAAGCACATCTTGTCATAAAACACCCACATACATTACGTACTCGACAACTCAATTATATAATTAAAACGTAAATAAAAAAAACAGCATAAAACAAATGAATGTTCCGTTATCGATAAGCTACATTCATAAACAACAAAAGCAACATGCAACATACTATTCACAACTTCAATTAATCTTGAAAACAGGTGTGACTATATATGACTAAACCCAAACTGATACATCCTTTCACTATTCTCTCTCTTAATTTCTCCTTATATTTCCTATCACTCTCTATCTCTCCTTCGTTTTCATCTTTCTTCAAACTTCATAAAATTAAACTTATAACAACAATTAATTATCCGCCTGTTTACAACTGAATCGTTAAATTTCATCCAGAGCTTCAAGAAATATCTCAATAAACTGACTAAGCGTAAAAAAATAATCTTACCTGAAGTTATGTGATGCAACCAGCAGATCATAATCCGGGCCCCAGGTTTGCATGGCATCGACGATGATGAGGCTGTTCACGCTGAAAGACACCAGAGACCTCCTGTGGGTCATGTGGGCTGTGGCGCCGACCTGGTCCACCCTCAGCTGACCGATGCTGTGGCCTTTAGATGGTTAAGTTGATGCACTTAATTTCTGTTCATGATAATATTTCATCAAACTAAACGGCATTCGCTCGTGCGTGCGGAGGTTGTTATAAATGAATTTGATTTAGTTAAAAAACGAATTAGTTCCTGTGAGCAGAATAATGAAAATGAAAAGCTGTTAGTAAAATGTAATTAATAATGTAAAAGTTATTAACTTGCTCATTACAAAATATTATAAATATTAGCCAAAAAATAATCAGTTAGAAATTAGTTCGAGGAGTAACTTTCATGCACATTCGCTAACCATTGCTTTGCGCATTGTCTAAAGAAACAAAAATTTGTAAGTATTCTTAAAAATGTGTATGGCATAATATTAAAACGACCGGCACAACAATTTCACTACAATTATTAAAAAAACAAAACAGAACAACGTTCCGTTGTTTCACCATTATGTTGAAATTAAACGCTACATAAATTTCTGATGAGGTTTGCATCTCTTGCATCACCTCATTATAACTACCGGTGTGTTTTGTGCATGAATTAGATCCTTAAAATTAAATTTTTTGTGTGCAATATAAACTTTGCCATTCTCCATAAAATCGCTTTCATCATTAGTTAAATTTCAGTTTGTCCCTATCTGAATACCAAAATTAATTATTTTTAAATTCACTAGAAACCTGAAACCGGTTTTCAAAAATCTTTGAATATCATACATCTATTTCATACCCATTTCAAAAATATCAACCCCATTATCCCAGACTCAGAGTATCATTTGCACATCAGATATTAAACTTTTAGGCCCCACCAGCACTCTCTATTCACAATCCTTCCTGTGCTTATTGGCTGATCAACGCTACGATCTTCAAATTCTCAAATTTCATATTATAATATATCGTGTTTTCAAAAGTAATGCACAAACTAGATTGTAAAACTTATTAATTAATCCATACAACATGACAGCAGGTGCCTTCGTTTTTATTCCACCAACGAACACATAACAGGCAGCATGATCATCATCATGGCTAACCTCTCCAGTGCACATCCAATGAAAGGCTGTAGATGATGAAATCAACAAACAACAACTTGCATTCCACATCTGGCTCATCCCCATAGAATGACCTGAAGAAATATTTAATAATTAATTAATCGATAATTAATCAATGACACATAAAACAGATGATTTATAAAAGTTTGTGTAGATAGTAGTTATTACCAAATTTGATTTTCAAACAACAAAAAACGCAGACATAAAAAGAAGTTATTATTGAATGTAAAGAATAATAAACACTTTGATCCAGATATATGCCTGGTCCTGGACGAGTTTCTCGAACGTTGGAAGACGAATGATGATTGTGGAGGTGCTGCTTGCTGGCCTGTGGAGGGCTGCTGCTTCCTGGCAAGCGCCCGATTCAGGTCGTTCATTAAATTTTGCATGCAGGTCTTCAGAGCTGACAACTGACCAGTTGTTCAAATGGTCACAAAACATAATCATGAAAATTAAAATATGAAATAAAAAATATACCATTCGTACAATTTCCAAACAAAACCGATTATAAAACACGTTTAGCAATAAAATATCTAGATAAAATAACAAGTTAACGGCATATTGAATGCTCGTTAGCAACCTTAAACTCATTGACATGAATCTCGATGGACGGGATGGAGGCAGAGATGATGACGTTGGGCCATTCATTTGTACAGGTCCTTATCAGGCGCCTGTTTATATTGAAACTCTTGATGAAATCTCAAAATCTTTCAAATTAACTATTTGCAATTATTTATTTATAACTATTTTCATGTTTATTAAGTAGAAGGGGCAATTGCAACACAATGAATATTGTTACAGTAGAGTTAAATTCAACAAACTTCTCATTCATAGGGCATAAAAAAAATGACGTACAAATAAAGTCCTGACAATCAGTCAAAACAACAATCAGTCAGAACAACAAAAACCATTGTCCATTTGAAATGTAGTTCCTTTACAACAATGGAAAACCTTTCAAACAGCAGAACGACATCAAATTTGTTGACCACGTGCCACAAGCTGGTGATGCTGCCGTAAGCTGACTTCCAATTGTCATCTGCATGTCCAATCAACACTTTCAAGTTTGAAAAACTCACTGTATACCTAAATAAATTAAAATAATAAGTAGGAATAATTAAGTGAAGAAAAAAAAATAAAATAATTTATACAACTTTTCAAAAACATATAATAGCAATAAAGTGCTACAAAAACATTAAAACTCCAAGTGATTCCATCTACTAAAGCATTAAATACAGTTTGGTCCGTAACTTATTCGCAAGCAAATAATTGAATTTCTTCAAATGAAAAAACTGTTTAAATGTTAAAGTAAAAAAATTCTTTCAACAAGAAATTAAATTTAAAAACTAACTTTTCATAAATCTTCTCCCGGATAAGAGATTCTGTAATTAAATTGTTTGTGTTGGTTTGAGCTGAATTCTCAAAGTCGGCGAAGTCGTCCGTATTGAAATTGTCAGCACTGTTCCTCCTCTTATGACCGATGCCGCTTAAGTCTGCAGAGGCAGGTAGCTCTTCTTGTGGTGTGGAAGATGGCGTCAGGAAATTGTCATCGTCGTCGTCATCTTCATCAACAATAATAATCATCATTATTAATATTATTATTATTATAGTGAAGAATACAAAATAAATCATGTAAATCTGTTTGTATAATATGAATTTTTTCCGATCATTAACAAGCTAAGGTAAAAAATGATTTTTATTGAACCCACAAACGCCCACAGATGTAAAATTTTACTTCTTTTTAAAATTTTACAATCACTTTTCATTATGAAATGGGGATGATAGGGCAAAATTTATTTTAGCAGGTCATAATTTTGCAACCTTGTTAATTGATTAATTCGTGCATTGCCGGCAAAAACGAGCAAGTACACCAGACATAAGAATACAATCATTTTAAATAGTAAATCATGAACGCAAAAAAGTACACATGCCATTAAGGTGATCAGTGTTTGCAATGAAATCCGCATGTGGAGCTGTTGCAACCGCAGCAGCTGGCGTCTCTTGCTTCTTCTTGTTGCTGATGAGCATGTGTCCGAGATCAAAGATGACGATGGTGGCGTGTGGGTCGGTAAAGTTTCTGGGCAGGATGATGTGCGGAGCAAACATGTCCACATCCAACAACCAGCTCGTCGAATTCGACTGTTTATGAAAGAATTAATGAAAATAAAATTAAATCATTGAAAATATTTAAGAGCCATCAATGCTTGAAAATAAATTCAACTTTTTTCAAAACTATATTAAAAGCAAAGAATCATGTTTTTTGAAGCCTCTCTTAGTTTAAACGGCAATGTCTTTAATCGTTATTAGGCGCGTGTATATATTTAATGGAAAGAAATTTCCATTTGTTTAGAAATTGTCCAAGCTTTGAGTCCTGGACAATTTCCAAAGAAAAGGAAAAAAGATTAACGCTGCTGAAATGTGGTTGTTGAGAAGAATTATAAAAATTAGTTGGACATTTCATACTTCGAATGAGGAAATTACCACAGATAATCCGACGGGGGCAACTAAAGTTTTTTGGTCACATCATGCAGAAGGAAAGAATGGAAAATCTAACAACTACTGGAAAGATTGCAGGGAAAAGAGATGGCAGTCAACAACGAATAACATTCGTGAAGTCCTTGTGTCGTTTGTTGAATATCACCACATTTCTACTACTGCAAAGTGTTAAAGATCGGGTTTCGTGGAGGTCGATGGTCGCCAATGTCCTGAAAGGATAAGGCATAAGAAAGAAGAAGATATATTTGATATAATAAACTTAAGTTGGACAAGAACTCTAGATATTTTAGAGCTGCGGAATAAAAAAATAGCAACAAGAAACGTTTTTTAATCCGTAACAATACTGTAGATGTATAAAAAAATTAAAAAAATTGGAAAGATAAAAAAGCCTAAGTGCTGAATCATAAAATGAAAAGTAGAATCAAGCTAGCGTTCGTAACAGACTCTATAGTATAATAATAATTCTTTTTTCAATTAAAGAACAACTATGCTATAACGAAAATATTAAAAATCGGCAGATACAATTTACATACAAAAATGTTCAGTCAACAACAATTAATATAAATGACTAGTTGATTGAGTTGAGAGTAAGTGACCTGGACATTTCCTTCAAGAACGGCATCAATCGTTTGTTGAAGCTCCCTCTTTGTCTGTTTCTTGAACACTTCATACTTACGTTTGGCCAATGCTGGTGGATAAATTTTTTCATAATTAAAACAAAATCATCATTAATATTCATTTATTAAATAAATAAAAAAAAACAAAATAAGTAAAATTTAAAAAAAACTAAATTATTAACATAAATAAATAAATTTAAATGAATAAAATTATTTAAATAGAAAAAATTATCAACAGGGAAAAATGAATTGCAGAAGGAAATATGGGAAGAAGAACCTGTGATATCAAGTTGAAAGTTGGCCGGATCCTGAGGTAGGGTTAATGTCTCCTTAATCTTCTCTATGAATGTTGGGTTGTAGACTATGTCCAAGGGTTGCGAAGATATGGAAAGTCTGGTGAAAATGTTATTCGGAGAAATTTTAATAAAGAAAAATGTGTAAATCAAATTAAAATAACAAATAACATTTTGCCATATTCTTTTAAAAAAAAATTAAAGATATAATTTTTTATATAATTTTAAATGTCTTCTAGAGAATATTATGAAAGCATAGATTTTTGTAACAAAATCGCCTCACTTGTATGAAGCTTTTGTAAAAAATGGATTCTTCTCCAGGCAAAATTTGAAAAGTTTTTTGATTTCTGAATTCTAGAAAGAAATTAAAAAAAGATAATTATATTTAAATTTTTGATATTTCAATTAGTGAAAGTTCCAGTAAAAACTAAAATCTATTTGGTAACAGTAAAAATACACAGAATCAAACAAAACATAAAATGAATAATTCAAAGTCAAACTGACATTTCGATTTTCATCATCATGACTTCTACGTGAATTGATAATTTTTTCAGAAAACGATGAAATGAGAGTTGGTCTAATGGAGTCAGTGGTGTGCTGGTCATGCAATGTTAGGTTGGACATTTCAATTCCAAACATCCACCCGTCTACTCTGGTTCTCGACTCAAACTTCATTTCAATCTCCTTGCATTCCAACAACAATAAGTCACTCAGAACATGTTTTCGACCTTTTCTCGAGTTAAACGTTGGTTTCAAAAGTATAGTTTCATTGAGAGGTTGTCCAGTTGGCAACGAATCTAGAGTATTATAAATATATTTCAACGTATAAAACCTGTCCAATAAAGTGTTTTTCAAAAAATTTAATGTAGTACATTCATTACCTTCGCAAATGGTAGTTTGTGCATCGTCAGCTTTGTCAATGTCAGTAGAGCCAATGTTAATGTAATCCACACCGTGCTCGTCAGCGTCTACGTCCTTTTTTATTGATTTTAAATTCAATGATCCACTGTTAAGCTTAAAGTTGACTCGAAGAAAAACAACATCCATCAGCATCAATGAGTTCTCTGTTTCCCGTGCGTCAAACATCATCTGCAGGTCTTCATCTGAAATTTTGAGCGAAGCATAACACAGGATAATCAATATTATATAATGCTGACAAATGTTACACAAACTCACAAACTTAAAATTTCAATTTTTTTAGCTTTTGTTTTCATGGATAAATTACATGATGATCTCTTTCAAGTTCTGTCCAGGCAAGACTCTAAAACTAAGAATCTTTGAGTGTGTACATACGTGTACAATGCACTTACATGCACATATAAAGCATATACACTAGGCAAAACAACATATGTTTTGAGGTTTGAATAACTATTGTGAAACAAACAAAATAATTAGATGTAATTAAATGTAAATAATAAACAAAAAATATAATAAAATTTGATCTAAAACAATAGATTTTCAACAATTAACAAAATTTAAATATTAACTAATATGTTTTATATTTAAGAAAAATGAATAGAATAGCTCAAGAACATAGCTGTGTTTACAACAAAACAAAATTATGTAACAGTTTTTATTGACATATAATAAAATTTGACAAAACAACAGACCGAATTCAGATTTAAGAAGATGGTTAGGAGCGCTTGTGTTCAAACACTGCTGACCAGGTTTTCCATTGCTGTTGTTGCTGTCATTGTCCTCGATAGAAGCTTGCTGAGCACCATCCAGGTCATCCAAACTGTCGGGCTGTTCCTTGCTGGCGACAGGTGCAGTTGAAGGGTCTGACAATGGAATGCCAACCTGCAGAGCTTTCTAGAAAACATGAAAAAAATGACTAGCAACAAAAATATTTCATTCCAAAAATATTAATAATGATTATTACTGCTGATAAAGTGTAAACAATAATGTTGCAAGAATATGTATTATAAGAGCCCAGCTAATCAAGCAAATGAACCTGATCTACTGAGGAATCATTTGCAGGCTGGCTGTTGTAACCAGTGTACCAACCACCCCAACCTGGGAACCATCTTTGCAAAATACCCTGTGGTGCAGCAGGTAATGCTGGTGGTGCTTCGTTTTGCGGTGATGTCGTTGAAGTAGCTGTTGGTGAGGTTGCTGAAGCAGTTGTTGATGGCGTTGTTGTTGATGACGTTGTTGATGTTTGTGTCAATGTTGCAGCAGATGTGGTTGTTAATACTGCAAGTGTAGAAGAAAGTGTGAGCGGGGGAGCAGATGTTGTGGCCGGTGCTGTAGCAGCAGGTGGTGACGAAACTGGCGGTGGTGGCGCAGTTGTTGGTGACGAAATAGGTGGTGAAGATGGTGTCGCAGGTGCTGAAGATGACAGTGTAGTAGAAGTTGTTGTTGTCGTTGAATTCAATGGTGCCTGATTGAGCTTGATTTTTGCAAGGGCAATCTTCGCAAAGTAAAAATCATTTGTGATTTAACATATATAATACTTACAAGTGGCATTCTAAATTCATGGCATACGCATATAAATATTCACATTCAAATGTAAATGCATGAATTCAAAAAAACAAACGAAATTGTTGAGACGTACTTGTTTTTCCTTACCCAACAATTCTTCAGTAACAATGGACCTCAATATTCTTAATTCTTCTAGTGCTGTTTCTGCTTCAAACTCATCCATAAAATCCTTAAAAAAATTTAATTTTTAGAAAAATACACATTTTTCTTTATTGATAAATATACTGAAACAAACTTTGTCTATTTTGACCACATATTTTGGACCAAGTGTCAACCAACTTCTGTATGCTTTCACATACAAAACGTTGGTCCTTGCTCTCTTCAACATGAACTCCTTCTTGAACCTCTTGTTCCTCTCCTTAACCTCATTCATGGTAACGTTTAGTGCAAATTTCCACAACACCTCACTTCTGTGTGTTGAAAAGAATAGCAATCATCAATTGAAATATTTAAAAATTTCAATTTAACAAATTTAATTTAAAACTGAATGTAGATTAAGAATATTTAAAAAAAATCAAAATACTTTTTCCAATTTGTTCCATCCTGTGTGAGAGGTTTGAACTTGCGGTACTTGTTAGCCTTGCAGACCATGTCATAGGCCTTCATAGCTGTGTGCATCTGTCTGAACTGACCCTCGTGCAGGGACACGGGCAAGTTGTCCAGTGTGACATCCAGCCAGATCCTTGGAGTGTGTCTGCTTCTGAGAGGCAGTGATGACGTGCCGCGTTGGAACTTGGTAAAACAACTCACCGGCTCCAAAACGTACGCACATGCATCCGACTTGAAGGGATAAAAAAAAAGAGTCCTTAATTTAACTGTCCAAATTCTGCACGACTGCATATTTCCTTATTACATGGACAACAAATCACATAGTCTTAAAATACTAAAAAAAATAAACAGTATTATTTGCAGTTGAAATGTAGTATCAAAAATAAAAAGTTATACCTGCATAAATTCATTCTGCTTCTTGAAGAACTCCTGAAAAATTGAAATATTATAAAATTATAAAAAAAGAAACATTTTGGAGCTCTAAAGGAACAAAAAAGTATAATAAAATCCACTAACAATGAAACTGTTTTTGTCTACGGTTTCCATTTGTTCAAAAAGCTGAGCTCTGCAATCCCAATAGAAGGCAAATTCATTCAAATCAACAATTTTATGAAGGATGCTATCCAAGCCTCGGTAGTTGAATCCAGGTAACTGCAAGGGCAATGAGCAAATAAACTTGAATAAATTAATTATCATTCTAAAGTAAGATCAATTTGATAAACATATTTTCATACATATGCATTAATAGAAATAGAAACCACTCACCTATAAAGGTAAGAAGAAATAAATTTGGCAACATTGGTTTTTTTTGCAGATTGCGAAAGAAAAATGGTCAAGTTTGACAATAGTATAAAAAAGTAGTTCAATGTCCATCCAGGTTGGTCTACGCCAAGATTTGAAACTATTAACTGAAGTAATAGAAAAAATTATTACAGAGAAAGAGGTCTTAAGTGGACTGCCATGAAAAATGTTTAGCGCTAACAACATGGTGCTTATGACAAAAAATGAAATAGAGATGAACAAAAAGTTGTTGAAATGGAGAAAAAAGGCTATGAAAAAAGACATAGTAGGATCAGGAAAACAAAAGTTATGTAAAAAAAACAAGGACCAGAATAATTTAGAAAACATTTTTCTGCAGTCTCTGGTAAAGTGGTAAGAGGGAACTTATTGCCAAATTCAAAATGAGATTAGTGAGCATATAAATAAAGCTGAGGTTTGCAAGGAAATCTTGAAAATGCCCTTCAATCTGTTAACTGACTTTGCAAGGGGGTAGTGGACAGTACAGAATGGGATGTGGCTGCAGAGGTACACACACAGTGAAACATGGGTTTAAAACTGCTTCTGCTTATTAGACGGTGTGTTGAACAAAGAAGTGTCTCAATAGAGCAATAACTGTTTGGTGTATGGATGTAAAACAGGAAAAATCGATCTGTAAAAGAACCTAGAAAGAACAAAACAGCCAACATTACAAAAGACCAAATACAAATGTTACAAAGTATAAAGAGAGTTTCCCTGAAAAATGGTATCAGCAATGAAGATTTTCAAAAAAGACTTGGATGGATGAATTAGCAGTTGTGATTAGGAGTGCCAGAATGAAATGACTTAATCCAACAGAAACATAATGATGATTGGGAAAAAATTTGATATTAGAAAGAGAAAAAGTTACTCAACTCAGAACATGCACAAATTAATTCTGACAAGGATGATGATGTCATTTTTCACGATATTCCAAAAAAAATTAAAAAAAATTAGATAAACAAACCCAATTGGAGTCAGCACTCTGAGCAGAGATGGAATTAATGGTGACGCCACATGCAAATGTGTGGTATGGAATACTGACATCATCCTCATAACGAATGTGTACATTTTTCACTTGCAGCTGATATGAAAAAATAATGAAAACATAGTCATCAATTTTAATCAAACCACCATTGCTGATATAAACAAACATAAATAAACTTGAATCGCTACACCTACTTGAAAATTGTCAATGATGTTAGTTATGAACGAAGTGCCGTACGACCACCAAGACAACCACGATGATGATGAGGAGGAGGAAGAAGCACTTTGCTGAATATAGTCCTTTTGAAGCTGTTTCAAGATTAAGTTGTTTTCAATTGAGTTTTCTGAACTCTCAATAAATTAAGTCTCTTGAAATTTAAAAATCAAGACAGAAAAAATATATTTTGAATTGTAAAATGTTCTATTTCATGGAAACCTTGAAATTTTCATCAAATTCTGCAAGTAGTATCTTCTTCTTTTCAGCAAATAACTTTTCCTCAGCTTCAGAATTGTACTACAGAAGTTCAACAAATATTACTTACTTAGTGAATGAAATTAGATTAAAAAATTTTCAAATAAATTATAATAACTTTAAAATACCTATTAAAATGTTTAATAATTTTCAACAATGTTTCAATATACAACAAATATAAAATTTGAACAGACAAATTTTTTTGAAGCAAAATATAAAAAGAAGATAAACTTCATAAAAAAATATTGCAATCTTCTAAAAAAAAACTACAAGAAATAAACTGCCAACCACATCATTAGTATCAGGACCAGCAATGAGGAATAAGTCTTCAATTGTTACCACCCATTGTTCACTTTTCAAGCGTCTTACAGGAATCTGCAACTTAATTCTGCCAATCAAACCTGAGTGCAAACAAACAAATTAACTTAATAAAATTTGAAACAAAACACATAATAATTATGTCATAATTATATAAATAAAAATTAATATAATTTATTTAATAATCATTGTTAAAATAACAGTATGGTGTATTTAACAAACACCAAATTCCAATATAAGCAAGAGGGCTTTAAATTTATATTTATATCCAAATTTATAATTATAATAATATAATTTATAATATAATTGAAAAATTAATTTTTTAATTAATAATTGTTAGATTGAAAATTGATTACCTGATTTGACAACAAATGGAAATCCAAGATTCTTAAGAGCAGATTTCTTAAGAGGTAAATTTTCCAATTCAACATTTCCTTCCAATTTAAATTTCAAGAAGTTTAAAATATAAGTTTTCAACAAGTCTAAAGAAAACTAAACTAAATCTATTTATTATAATTTGTTCTAGAACTTTTAGTAAAGTACAAAATGAATTATTAATTAAATACCCTATTAGATAATTATAATATAACTTAATAGTCTTAATTTAATTTAAAAAAACATGTTATTTTAATAAACAGCTTGCAAACTTAAGAAAAATGTACCTTGGAAAATACCAACGCTTAGCTGGTCAGTATTTAAATTTTCTACATATTCACCAAGATATGTATTCAAGACCCATGCTATTAATCCTTCCAACATTACAATCTAATCATTTCGTAACAGTTTCTACAAATTTAACACTTCATTCGCCTAACTTATTTATTTATTCAATATTTATCTTCCCGAAATTCCCAGGCACAAAACTGCAAGTAAACTTCAGCAAACAATAACAAACAAAAGTGAAATGAATAAATAGGTGGTTAAACTAACTGTCCAACGGGGTAATGAGAGAAATGTTTGTTCTTCATACTACAGCTCACAACACACAGAGCTCTAAGACTTGATTTTTAGATGACGCCACTGACGCACCTGGCTAAAATATTAAATGAATTTTTTGAGAAATATGAAATGACAGAATTAGAGTTTAAAGGTCTATTACATTCTTCTTAGGTTCAGAGAAATCAACAACATACAAAAATCTTTAATGAATCCATGCTAAACGATGCATCACACACGAAGCATGTGATAGGCGAGGATCGTTTTGTCATTTTCAAACCTGGCCATGCAAACACTGCAAAACAGCAAACAGCACCAGGCAACCTCAACCACTAGACCATCACGCCGCCCAAGCTGATCTATTACCGCCATAAATATTCACAAAATGGTTGAAAAGTGATAAAAAAAGTGGCTACTTAAGATTGGGAAAGTTATGAAGGGTGGCGTTATGGCCTAGTAGTTAAAGTCGCCAGGTGCTGTTTCGCAGTGCGTGAAGTAACTGCAAATGTTCGATCGAATATGACAATCACATGCTTTGTGGGTGATGCGCCGTTTAGCAGGTATTCATTTGCTTTGTTCGTGTGTTGTGTCGTGTGTCCTCTGGACCTAAAAATGTACACTTTGGTTAATGTATATGGATTAAATTGTTGACGCTAGATAAACTCCTTAACTTTAACCTTTAACTATTTTTAAACTCAGATTTACAGAGAATGTCGATCTACTGGTGCCGAGTGCATATGGTTTACAAAAGTTGTTTGACATGACACATAAGAGCGGTGGGATTGCATGTTAAGAAAACAAAATAAAATGATAATTTAAAAGATAAAGCCTGTAAAATTTCAAATAAATTAAAAAATAGAATATGTCTACCAGCTCGTTTACTTGGGCAGTTTCATTTAGCGACAACAGTTGATTAAAGTACCTTAAACAAAGAAATAAATGATTCTTTATTGCATATAGACTTCTAGCCCCGATGAAGAAAATTTGGAAATATGGCAATACATCTATCAACAAAAGAACATTGTCTGGGTTTTTTTTATATTTACACTGAGGTTGGCAAACTCCAAATTGGCAATAACTTTAATTGGTAACCGCCAGGTTACCTAGCATGGAAAAAAATTTTAATCAGCTCAAAGATACGGTTTTTGTCATCCCAGCAAAAAATGATCAATACATAAACATAAAACTTCTAAAGTTCTCACATTTTGTCAAAACCTGTCACTGCCCCCAGTAAGACTTCAACACCCACAAGGGGGCGCTATCGTCCATTTTGAGAAACAAAGTTGTGCTCTAGGAAGCAAGGTCTCTTGGTATATAATAATCGAGCACACGATTTTGGTTGAGTTGAGAGTTATCTTTGTTAGTTAAGAGTAAGTTATCTCTTTTAAATTTTATTATTATTATTAATTTTTTCTTTTAGTTTTGTTATTTTTTTAAAGAAAATACATTTGATTACAATTAGTTAAAACAATTAAAACAATAAATTAATATTAACAATAATGAGTGAGTCGTTTCTCTTTCGATTTCGATTATTAAACTTTTCAATATTTTGAACACTAAATAATACTCAATACACCTAAGTCGCCAATTAAAATCATCTCTCATTATTTTATGTACGTGAACAATGTCGAGTTATTAACGTTGAGCGAGCGAGTTTACAAAAACAGAAAGAATCTCCTCAAGAACAAACTATGTTGTTCGTTCAGTAACCGTCGTAAAACGGTAAAGAGCGAGCAATATAACAGTATGTATGTTTTTAACTTATGTATATATGTGTTTGTGTTTTGTGTATGTGTGTACGCTTGAATTATTATAGAACTTTCTAAATAAAAAACTGAAAAAGCGCATCTCACGAACGGCATTTAGTGAGAAGCCCCCTCGCCACGTCAAGGCAGCCGTTCATGAGGGAGATAAAAAATGTGCACGCGTCTCAAATTAGTTATATAAATAATCCTATCTAACTATTTAGTTGCCTTAGCTAATGACGTCTAAGCTTTAACTTACCTATTCATTACATTACAGCCCTAGCTTACCTAAAAATTAAAAAAACTGTGTGTATAATACGCTGATGCGTGTAATGTGGGTGCAAGAAAAAATAGAAGCGATAAACTTACGCGCCCACCTATTGAACTACATTAGTGTTGGATGTTTTCTATCTATCCTACCTACAATTAAAATTATCCCTATCTAACTTACTATATAGTAAGCTAATGTAAAGTGTGTGTATGAGTATTTGTGCTGAATGACGCATCTCAAATAAATAAAAATAAAAATGTTAAAATAGAAAGAAAGATTAAGACGTAGAGAGTAAGACATGCATGAATAAAAATATATAACACAATCATTAAATAAAAATTCCACTAAAACCAGGAACTACTGAATATAAATTAATCTCACCAATTTGTGTTTAACTAACTTAACTAAGACTTAGAATAGTAAAACAACATAAAATACTACCACACAAACAAACATGATGTATGTATATATGTATGTATGAGCAACCGTTAAAGAACCCACCTAAAATAAAAACATACAACATACAAACACAAACCACAGACACAAACTCTATATAACTTTATATAGCCGCTCAACTCTATATAACTCCATATAAATGCTTGTTTGTATTACACGTATGTATGTATGCATGTATGTATGTTTTTGTATGTTTGTGTGTTGTACCGTTGTTTGTATGTTTGTGTACGTTATATTTGCATGTGCGTACGTACAAATATTAATGTAGCCAAGGTTTGAGAGTATTTGCGCTAAAAAATGCAACCAATAAAAAGATAGAAAACTGCATTTTAAGAAAACAAACAAGTGAAGAAGAAGCACTTATTTGAACGGCATTTAATGAGAATCCCCCTCGCCGCGTCAAGGCAGCCGTTCATGTGGGGGTTAATAATAAAACGATAGTCTAGAAATAATAAGTAACGAATACGTCTAGAAATAATAACTTGACTAAAATATAATAAAAATAATATTGTGTTGTCGTGTTTGATTGCTGTTGTTGGTGTTGTGTTGAACAAAAAACAAAACGAAACAATACAAATATAATAGAACGTAAGAATGAAAGGATAGAGTTCCTAACTTACTTATGTTGTCTAAACTAACTCACCTACCTATGTTCAATTAGCTCAACTTACGAATTAATTCTACCTATTTGTACGATTACGAAAAAAAAGTAAAGAAAAGAGGATAAAACATCAAACAAACAAAACAACGAATGTATGTGTGTATGTATGTATGTATGTTAAAACCAAATCATTGACGAATGACACCAAAAGCCAAGCGTCTGACTAAATTTGATTTTATTTGCTATAACGTCACTCAACCCCGTCGGCATTCAACTCCACATTTTCCAACACACAGACGCGCAAAAACCGCTGCAGAATGCACGAGATATTATTCATAGCAAAAAAATATTCCCTACAATCGCCTGACCTAATACTGATATTTTTACAAATCCGATTGAAAAACCCGGAGGTGATACGGTCCATGGGGCCGAGGACCTCGATACAAATCGGTAAAAACTCCATCGAGGGGAGAGCTCCGTCGTACTTTTTGATCTTCTCGTCAGATGTATGTATGTATGTGTGTGTGTGTGTGTGTGTGTGTGTGTGTGTGTGTGTGTGTGTGTGTGTGTGTGTGTGTGTGTGCAAACTCTATATAACCGCGCAATAATAATATCAGTAAAATAAACGAATAAGTCTAGAAATAATAAGTAACAATATAACGAAAATATTGTGTTGATTGTCGTGTTTGATTGCTGTTGTTGGTGTTGTGTTGAACAAAAAACAAAATACAATACAAATAAAATAGAAAGAAAAATGAAATAATAAAGTTCCTAACTTACCTATGTTCACTAAATTAACTCACCTACCTATGTTCAATTAGCTCAACTTACGAATTACTCCTACCTATTTGTACGATTACGAAAAAAAAAGTAAAGAAAAGAGGATAAAACATCAAACAAAACAACGAATGTATGTGTATATGTATGTATGTGTGTAACCGCGCAATAATAAAATCAGTAAAATAAACGAATAGATCTAGAAATAATAAGTAAAAATAAAATTAACGGATACGTCTAGAAATAATAACTTAACTAAAATAAAACGAAAAATAATATAGTGTTGATTGTCGTGTTTGATTGCTGTTGTTGTTGTGTTGAACAAAAAACAAACAAAACAACTTACCTACCAATGTTCAATTAGCTCAACTTACGAATCACTCCTACCTATTTGTACGATTACGAAGAAAAAAGTAAAGAAAAGAGGATAAAACATCAAGCAAACAAAACAACGAATGTACGTATGTGTGTATGTACACATGTGTACGTATGTGTTTATGTATGTGTATGTAAAACTCTATATAACCGCGCAATAATAATATCATTAAAATAAACGAATAATTTTAGAAATAATATGTAACAACGTCTAGAAACAATAAAATAAAATAATGAAATAAAAAAATGAGACCAGGCGCTAAGGGAATGCCACGAAGCGCCTGATCTGACTTCAAAGTGTTCTTGGCTCCTACTTATACCAGTTCCATTCATATATTCTTATCATTTCAATCACTGACATCATTAAAAAACGTTATTTAATGTATATGAAACATTATTACAAGTGTTTAACAACAATATATTAACTTATGCTAAAATGAATTCAACGAACGCCTACGGACTTTCAAATGGGATGGTTCGAGTATATCTAGTTGAATTCAAATTTAATCGAAGTCACTCCTTTTCATATAACATTTGAAAAATGAAAATGTGTATTTCTTTTATTTCTTTCTTTTTATATTTTACTTACAATCAATTCAACCATTCACATTAGTAAAAAGTTTATTGATTTAATGTTAATGATTTTTGATTTTATGTAATACACTAAATACATATTTGACAACAGATCTAATCAAACTTCGAAACATTCTGATTGACAGGTTGGAAATGCTGTTTTTCTTTTTATCTAAACATAATCTGAATAATTATCTTTATACACGGATTCTAAATACTTAATATATATTTATTATATAACTTACTTATAAAACCAACAGTTAATCAGTGTTACACACGTATGTACATATGTATGCACGCGTGCGGTTCAAATTATTCCAAGAGAATTCAAAATAATTTGACACCACACATACATCTTACTTCATTTTAATTGTATAATTTAAAAGTATAAATATAAAAATTTAAATATATTTAATAATTACACAAATCTATCTATCTTTTTGTTTATTTAGTTATGTGTGCATATAATGTTTGGTAGAATTTATTTAATAGGAATCGAATGTAATGTTTATACCGGCTAATTCACTTTCGTACGATTCAACGATTTTTACTATTAAAATGACGTCATTTCCGCCAACGATTTCGCAACAAAGTGTCAATCCTATTTCAATAATTTTTTTGTCGTTGTTTAGAGGAATTATCATTTTTTAAAACTTCAAGGAAATAAATTTTGTTAGGTTAATAATTTAAATGAGATGTAAGAACAATTTTTAACTGCATGATAGCCATTCAAAACGTTCTATTGTTCGGTAATCAGCATATTCCATTCTTATCAAAAAAAATTTCAAATATTATGTGCAAATTTAAATAAATATTCAAACAAATGAATTAATAAATTAACCTACAAACAAACAAACGAACGAACAAACAAACAAATAATGTCACAAAATAGTCACTAAAAAATCAACAAATACACACAAACACACATACACAAACGAAATTTGTAGTAAAGTAAGAAAGGAGCGATTTCACGGTTTCAAGTACACCGGCTTGCACTCACACACCACACACACATACACACACACACACAAACACACACAACACACATACTACCAACGAAACAACCAACGAAACAACCGATCTACCAGCCTAACAGCCAAAGTATCAACCTTTCAACCAACCAACCAAATAACTAAACAAACAAACATACATACAAACAAACAAAAAAATACGCATATGCATGTGTTTTTGAGTATGTAAGTGTATAGCGTGCCTGATATACATATGAAATGAAATAAATGAATCAAGTTTTATTTAAATTAAAATTAAACTGGATAAAAATGTAATTAAATAATAAACAAAAATACAGACAAACAATCAAACAAATTAACTAACAAATCAGCAAACAATACAAACAAACAAGCAGACAGATAAACTAAAAGAAATAGATATGTATTTGTGTGTGTGTGTTTGTGTGTGTGTGTGTGTGTGTGTGTGTGTGTGTGTGTGTGTGTGTGTAATATACACACATGTGATGAAAAAAAAATGAAAATAAAATAAAATATAAAATAGACCAAAATTTTATTTCAAACCATCCGGTTAAAAATTTGAATAGATGAACGAACGAAGTAACCAACGATTGTGTGAATGAATGGATAAACGAATGAATGAACGAACGAACAAATGATTGAACGAATGAACAAAAAACAAATGAATAAACGAATGAATATATATATAAACATATACACAAACATTTACATGTACATTGTACATATATAAATTTCAAAATTATTCAAGTGAGTAAGGAGCGGTGGCAAGTAAATTTGGAATTCATTACGACAAACATGTACACATGTATACAAGTATCTAAAACAATTTTTCTTAATATTAAATTTATTTAATAATTAAATAAAAATATTACTAATTGCGTGTGTACGTTTACGTTATCCGGTGTTCAAACCAAATGAGCCAATCAGGAAGTTAGGGTGACGTTCCTTAATTTCCTTCTAGTGTAGTTAGTATATTGTCGTTAAGAATGTATATTAGTGTTATGCATACATAAAATAAGCTTTTATTGATATGAATGATTGAAATGTTGAGAATGTAGGAATGAAAATGGTATAAATAGGAGCCGAAAAAACGTTGAAGTCAGATCAGATGTCCCTCGGCACTTGGTCGGGGGCGTCTGATCTAATTTTTTTACATTTATTATATTGAATATAATTTATTTATTTTATTTATTCGGATGTCCCTCGGCACATGGTCGGGGGCGTCTGATCTAATTTTTTTACATTTATTATAAAGAATATTACTTATTTATTTTATATATTTATTTATTCGTATGTCCCTCGGCACGTGGTCAGGGGCGTCTCATCTAATTTTTTTACGTTCATTACATAGTTTTTTTCATTGCGCGGTTATATAGAGTTTTATTTGTTGCGCGGTTATATAGAGTTTGCACACACATACATACATACATACAATAATACATGCATACATACATTCGTTGTTTTGTTTGTTTGATGTTTTATCCTCTTTTCTTTACATTTTTCTTCGGAATCTACAAATAGGTAGGATTAATTCATAAGTTGGGCTAATTGAACATAGGTAGGTGAGTTAATTTAATGAAAATAGGTAAGTTAGGACTCTACTTCATTCTTACGTTCTAGTTTATTTGTGTTTTGGTTTGCTTGTTTTATGTTCAACACAACACAACAACAGCAATCAGAAACGACAATCAACACAATATTATTTTCGTTATATTTTAGTTAAATTTCGTAATATTTTATTTTAATTAGGTTATTTCTAGACGTGTTCATTATTTATATTTATTATTTCTAGCCTTGTTCGTTTATTGTTGCGCGGTTATATAAAGTTATATAGAGTTTAATTGCGCGGTTATATAGATTTTGCACACACACAAACACATACATACAATAATACATACATACATACATTTGTTGTTTTGTTTGTTTGATGTTTTATCCTCTTTATTTTTTTCTTCGTAATCGTACAAATAGGTAGGATTAATTCGTAAGTTGAGCTAATTGAACATAGGTAGGTGAATAATTTAGTGAACATAGGTAAGTTAGGGACTCTATCCTTTCATTCTAACTTTCTATTTTATTTGTATTGTTTTTTTTTTTTGTTCAACACAACATAAACAACAGTAATCAAACACGGCGACACAATATTAATATCGGTATATTTTAGTTAAGTTATTTATTATTTCTAGACGTATTCGTTACTTATTATTTCTAGACTATCGTTTTATTATTAACCCCCTCATGAACGGCTGCTTTGACGCGGTGAGGGGGCTTCTCACTAAATGCCGTTCAATTAAATGCTTCTTCTTCACTTGTTTGTTTTCTTAAAAATGCGATTCTCTATCTTTTTCTTGGCTGCATTTTTTAGCGCATATACTTTCAAACATAGGCCACATTAGCGTCTGTACATACGCACATGCAAATAAAATACACAAACATACAAACAACGGTACAACAAAACGCACACAAACATGCAAATACATATATAAATGCACGCGTACTTACAAATACTTACATAAATACATACGTGTAATACAAACGAACCTTAATTAGCAGTTATGTTTCTTGTTCTCATCTTTTCTTACTTTCTAACATTTTATTAGTTTAGGTAGGAGTAAAATGGGTGAGCCTTGGCTAAAGTTTGATAAAAGTTTAGAAAATAATTGATTGATCATAGGTTGGTACCTTAACTTCAAACTTTATTTCTCTCCCTCATGTCACAAGTTCGTTTTTGTTTTGTTTGCACACACTCAATACGCATACGGTGAACAAAAACAAACATGGTACTATGATACAAACATATGTACGAACATGCATGCATGAATGGCCCGCTATTTCCATTGCGCGCCGGTCGTTTTTTTGCACCAGTCAACATTGTTATTTATTCCCTACTTAATTGTTCAATCGTTTTTTTCTGAACGCTGTAATTGTGACATGGTTGATCAACTCGATCAACTACCGCTTTTGTTTTATTGTAGTCTAATATCATTCGTTTTCCAGTTCCATTATCCATTTCAACATTCGAATGCATAGTGGAAAGCAATGTAAAAGATTTGTTTTTTTTTGCCACGTAGGAAACTGAAGTTTGCCGTCGAGTAAAACCAAACAAAGATGAACCCACATCTCTATTTTTACTTTCTTGAAAATCAGGTGGTATGGCAGGCTTATTTTGTCGCGCTGTTCCAGGAAGTGTGATTTGCTTTCTCAACAAATTTTCTGCTAGTCTTGTGTTAGTAAACCAATTGTCTGTTGTTACGTTGACATCAGAGTTGAAGATTGGTTCTGCTAATGTTAACACAACATACTCTGCAAAACCAGTATGTCTTATTTTCTTCACGAATAACATAAAGGCATCCCATTGAATGTGTAAGTATATGTGTAGCTCACATCTCACCACACTATCCTGTAATAAACATCAGATATAAATATCGAAATGTTTTTGACCACGTCCAATTGTCTGCAAGCTAGATTCATTTTTAAAAACAATTTCTGCTGTGTGGAAATCTCTCGTAGGCCGGTTTGTACGAATTATTGTTATATTATGCAATCAAGACTTTGTCTAAATGAGGTTTTCGGAGATCATTATTTTCATAATGATATTTTTTCACAATTTTTTTGGGTCACATTTGGCTATCGTTTATCTCTGAGAGAGACTCAATGATCAACCCACAAAACTGCAAAAGAACATCTCACAATTAAAATTCGACCAGTTTGGTTATTCTGAAATGAATTATTTATAATGAATACGTAGTTTATAAAATATAAGGAACTCTTTTCTTTAGCCTGCCTCCAAGTTTAAAATAAAATTTTTTTTATATAATTGATTAATATAATTATTATTTATTAATTAATCAGTTAAAATTAAAAATTTGAAAATTTTTTAAAGATCTATTCTATATTCTATTCTATCATTTTTAAAATTAAAATAATGAATATATAAGTCAATATTAATTCACTTAGATCTTCATAGCTTAATTTTTCTTGTAATTCTGCAGTAAAAGTTTCCAGTCACTTTTTAAAATTGTATTTGATTAATTTAATAATTAATTTAATAATATAATACTTTAATGAAGAATTTATAAATTAAAATTAACTAAGCCTTCCATTGAATAATTAATTCATAGTTTTATGACAAAACATTTATACGATGATTGAAAAAATTCTTATTATAAAGCTTATAATTTAAATAATTAAATTGAACAGACTTCACAGATAAGCTTTCACCATGGGTAGATCTTACAATGAAGAAATGGAATATGTGGAGAAACTAACCCCTTATAGTTGGAGAATAAAAAAAGGATTTGTACCTAATATGAAGGCAAGTAGTCTGATATTTTTTTTTAATTTTTAAAAGAGTTTAAAATGTATGTAAGAATCTGTTCTGTTTAGTTAGATTTATATTAAATTAACAAGTGATATTATTACCTACTGTTTTTCTTGACATACAGGTTGAAGGTGTTTTTTATGTGAACAGTCATCTGGAGAAGTTGATGTTTGATGAGTTGAAGCAATCATGCAGGTCTGCTGGTTATGGTGGGTTTCTTCCTGGCATGAAGCAGATTGGGAATGTAGCTGCCTTGCCTGGTTAATAAAAATTTTTGTCTAATTATCTATTGGGATATGTAACTGAGGATGTTTTTAAACGTTTTCAATTATTCATTTCATGGAAGAAGAAAAACAATTTTGTAAAAAAGACAATTTTTTTTGATTTTATAGTTTTGTAAAAATTGTAACTTCAATAGTAAGTTTAGTTTAGTAAATGAGGCTGAAACTTTACAAGATGACAAAATTTTAAACTAAGCTGGAATAGATTAATAAGCTTGAAAATTTAAAGGATAAAGTTTGTAACGTTGGTTTTATTAGATAAGAAAATTTTACTAATTTGTCAAATCACTGTTTACAATTCTTTCACAGGAATAGTTGGAAAGTCAGTTGGTCTGCCTGATGTGCATTCTGGTTATGGTTTTGCCATAGGAAATATGGCAGCATTTGATGTTGATGATCCAATTTCAGTCGTATCTCCTGGCGGGGTTGGCTTTGACATCAACTGTGGGGTTAGGCTTTTGAGGACAAACTTGTTTGAGAAAGATGTTCTACCTGTGAAGGAGCAGTTAGCCCAGAGTATGTTTAATCACATCCCAGTTGGTGTGGGCTCCAAGGGTATCATTCCAATGGGAGCCAGGTCTGTTATTTTTATAAGAATCATTAGAATCATCATTTAATTAAAATCATTAGAAAGATTTTCATTAAGTATGTTTATTTATCAACTTTTCAATGCATTTGTTTCATTTATTCATTTGAAATTTTAATTCAGAGATTTAGAGGAAGCTTTAGAGATGGGTATGGATTGGTCTTTGAGGGAAGGTGCCTGTTTTAGAATGTTTCACAATTTTTTTCTTGATGATTTTGAACTTTGTGTGTTACAGAGTTTTCAACCAAAATGTTAAATGCAAATGTCTTCATTTTCTCAATTTTAAGTTTCAATAAGTATGAACTTCAATATTCACCATTTATATATTGCTTAATGTCTATGTTTATTCATCACTAACATATTTTTAAATTTGCTATAATGATAACAGAATTTAATGTTCTCCTACACTTAACTTCTGGTCTTTTTAAAGTACTTAGTTTTATTATGCATAATTTGCTTGACAAGCTCAGAAGTTGTAATAAGTAGGTATTGTAGAATGAACTATTGATATACCTCTAAGAAGATTAACTTTTTTTCAATGCAAAATATTGATTTTGTTTGGCAAGGGTACATCTGGGCAGAGGACAAGGAGCACTGTGAAGAGTATGGTCGCATGTTACAGGCAGACCCGTCTAAAGTCAGTATGAGGGCAAAAAAACGAGGTCTACCTCAGGTTTGTTATTGCTATTGTTTTTTTTTCTTATTTCGTTTATAATTATAATTATGTATTTAGTTAGGAACACTTGGGGCTGGCAACCACTATGCCGAGATACAAGTTGTAGATGAGATATTCAATGAATTCAATGCAAAGAAGATGGGCATTGAGGAGAAAGGACAGATATGTGTGATGATTCACTGTGGAAGTCGAGGACTGGGCCATCAAGTTGCCACAGGTTGCCACATCATCACTACTGCTTGTTACCTGTTCAATTATATGCTTCTGTTCAGTTAATTGGTTGCTTTTTCAAACTGCTAAGTTAAGTTTTTAATATGTTCCTTTTCAGATGCTTTAGTTGCCATGGAAAAGGCCATGAAGCGAGATAAGATTGATGTTAACGATAGACAACTTGCCTGTGCGCGAATCAACAGCCAAGAAGGTCGTCATTTTGATTTGAATATTCTGGCTCTTATTTATAAATTATTTGTTAATTTGAAAAACAGCTTATTAAATAGAATCAATGGAATCTCGCAATTATTTAGGTCAGGATTACTTGAAGGGAATGGCAGCGGCAGCTAATTATGCCTGGGTCAACAGAAGTAGCATGACTTTTCTTTGTAGGCAGGTATCATCTACTTTTTGGTGGCTTTATACTGTACTTCTTGCTTTTGATATCATAAGTACTAAATGTTGATATGATGTCATGATTACATCTTTTTAATTAATAAATGATTTTTCTACAACAGGCATTTGCCAAAATGTTCCACTCATCACCAGATGACTTGGACATGCATGTCATATATGACGTGAGTCACAACATCGCAAAAGTTGAAGAGCATTTTATTGATGGCCGACAGAAAACACTGCTCGTCCATAGGAAAGGGTCCACACGCGCATTTCCTCCGCATCATCCTCTCATCCCTGTCGACTACCAGGTTGTTTCATAGGAATATTAAACTCTACTAGAAATTATACATTCTAATAATGTTCACGTGCCTTATTGCCAGAGTGAGTTACATATTAAATTACGTTAACGTTATTGAATGGCCATCATTCACTCAGTTAACAGGTCAGCCAGTCTTAATTGGAGGCACCATGGGTACGTGTAGTTATGTCCTGACTGGAACAGAACAAGGCATGAATGATACGTTCGGATCTACTTGCCATGGAGCCGTTTGTTTTTTTTTTTTCATTTTCTCTGCATAACAAACTTTAAGTTTTAATATTTATAAGATTGTTTATTTCATTCAGATTATCAAGGGTCAAAATTTATATAGCCTCGATCCAATCACACATGCACTTGTTGTAGAGATTTTCTTTACGTTTCGTTCCTTCGTCTTCTAACGTTTATTTGTTATAACTTCTAGCTATTCATCTGTTAACTTATGACCGTTTGATAGGGACGTGCATTATCTAGAGCTAAGTCTCGACGTAACCTTGACTACACCGACGTTTTGAAATCATTAGAGGAGAAAGGTATCTCAATCAGGGTGGCCTCTCCAAAACTGGTCATGGAGGAGGTAGGTTGTGTCCTTTTATGTTTGTTCATTGCTCATATAAAATAACTCATTTAATTTCTTACTGGTAATTTATTAAACATATATTTAGGCACCTGAATCGTACAAGAATGTTACAGATGTTGTCGACACATGTGAGTAATCTCGATTCACTTTAAATTTTCGATTTTGCGCGACGATGTTTTCTTGTACTCTATCAATTTCAAAGAACTTTGCAACACGTGCAACAGCTATCATTCAAATTCATTATTATAATAGGAACTTATAATCACAATCAACACTAATCAGATTGTTCATTCTTCAAATTATTCAGTAATTATTTCATTGTGATTTATTATATAAATTATTTCATTTTAGCCAATTAAGTGTATTATTTCGTTAATGTTCTTTAAGGTCACTTAGCTGGAATCAGTCAGAAATGTGTGAAGCTGAGACCTATTGCCGTTATTAAGGGATAGTTGTGCTTTCAGGGAAGAAAGTTCTGTTATAATTTTTTGTTTCAATGATGCCTAATTGTTTGTTTCGACGTAATTAGTTTGAAATTAATTTTTAATGCCTGTATTTAAATATTTGTTTAATTTTTGTTTCTTATAAAGAGAGACATAATTTTTTTTAAATATTTTTTGTGTAAAAATACAAATATGTTTTCTTATAGAAATATACAATAAATTAATTATCAAATATGAAAAATATTGTATATCAAAATGCGGTGAAAAATTTGAAAGTATGTTTGAAATATTAAAACTTTAATGAAGAAAATAGCCTACTTTAAAATTGCTTTAAAGGCACGGTAAATGCTAAAGTAAATTTGGGTGAGTGATGCTGGCGGAAAAAGGGTAACGTGTTCGTGAACGCAACTGTTCACGGTACTGCGTGAGGTTCGTGCGGTTGATTGATCACTGATGTGACAGCTTTGAAAAGATTAGTTTACTTGAAACTCATTAAATGTTTGTCAGGCTGCAATTATAAAATGATTAAAAGTGCTATGAATGGACATGATCCTTAAAATAATGCTATAATTAGAATACAAATTAACTAAGCAGTTTAATATATATATATATATATATATATACATATATATATATATATATATATATATATATATATATATATATATATCTGTTGAAAGGAGGGCATATTTCATACAGTATTGTATGAATTCGGTAGAATACTTACAATACTGTATATATGTATATATATATATATATATATATATACATTTAAATTATCAATAAAACGGCAATTATTCGTTCATGTATTGAGGTGGCAAACGTTAATTTGTAGGAAAATGTGTTTGGATCCAGTGGCGGGGATGAATCTCCTTTACCAAACCATGAAAGAAAAAAATATTGAAGATGCTATGTCAAATAGAGTAACAAAGTAAAAGAAAATTAGCAAAAAGGTCATTAACTTGAGAATTTTCCATAATCGTCAACCCCGAAATGGAAATAAACGAATTAGGAAAAATGTCATCAGATTTAGAATTTTGAAATCATCACCACCGCCAAATTTGGGATCGGCCACTATCTGGGCCAGAAAGTTATGGAAAATGTGTAGATAACTGCGTGTGTGTAGATAGAAAAGATAGCCATTCCTTGCTTGATTTTATATATCCACCAAGTTACATGAAAAAATGCAACAGTCCAAATAATTTATAAGAGGGATTCGTATTTACAAAAGTAAAACTGAAAAAGTATGGTTTTACAAAACGGATATATAAAATGTACCTATTTACAAATGTCATGAAATAGTATTTCTTATATATTAATCATATCAATTAATATCAAATTTTATTTTGTCTTACCATACAATAAAGTTAAAATTGCAATTAAACAATTATTATCACCATGATAAATAATTATGATAACAAAATTTTGGTAATTGTGTTAAACAGTAACTCTGGAGTAATGTTATAATTGTATATGCCCTAAAAATAGTGTGACAGTAAGAATGTATATAATATTCACATCGTAAAGAACAAAAACAAATCAAAAATGAAAACCAAATGAAAAAACGCAGCCGCGCAAACTGGCACTTTAAAAAGGACACTTGGAAAGCGCCGATACATTAGACGGTTGTATCTGTCAAACCCGTAAATTGCAAGTAAGTGTCAAAAGAACAATTGTTTAAGTTACGGTTTAAATTGAAACTGTCACTATTTACATTTTGTCGGTTAACATTAATCATAATGCTAGGGTCGTTATTGTTATAAACGTTATTTCTATTATTTGCGTGGTGGTCGTTGGTGCTGATGTTATTGATATTCGTGATGATGTCGTTAACGTTATTGATGTTGGAAATGCTATGCGTGTTGCAGATGTTGTTGTGATGAGATTCATTGAGGGAAGTGTCCATGTTCGACTCCAACATCGTGTCGGTAGTTCTATCCGAATAGCAAGACGAAGAAAGAAGCTGGAGAAAATAAACAAGTTTAAATATACACGTGAATTTCTAATATTTTTCATAATAGAAATCATCAAAAGTTAACAAAATAGTGACATAAAAGGCTGATACCTCGTTGTTGTTATCACAGATGATCGGCACGTAAGACCATGGTGAGGGTTCTTCACAGTTATAATTGTAGGTAACTGAAATAAGTGTAAACAAGTGTTTTTTTGCACAACCAAGTTAGGTTTTTTCATGTTAACGCGAATTAAAAATGTTTGGCTAAGAGATGCGTAAAGATTTTTTTTTATATAAAAGTGGATCTACCGTAATCCCTGTTTTGAATCATTTGATGAGAGACGTGTTTGATGAGTTTAACAATGGTGTGGAAGCAAGGTCGTTTGTCTGGTTGATACGCCCAACATCGAACCATCAAGTTGTACCTGTTCAAGTTTATATTTAAACAAGTTGAACGCTCTAAATTTTAATCTTTAAATTTCAACTTATTACGAGTTAAGGTTCCCTTTATTCTAAAAGTTGATTAAAATTTTTATTTGCTGATTAAAAATATTTTACATGCAAAAGTTGGTTAATTAACGATGAAAATTTAAAAAAATTGAATTGGAAAAATAAAATCGGCTGCCAAAAAAGAAAAGCTAAAAAATTGAAAACAACACGGGAAAACGTCTAACAGCTGATCAGGACATTTTGATGGCCTGTCCAATATGCCGCCACTCCTGACGTATTGAAGGACTTCAAGATTGGACTGAGCGAGATAGGGCTGGTTTCCCAGGCTCAGCACTTCCCAAATTAACACACCAAATGACCTGCGGTTTAAATATCTTTCATTGCTTGATTAACATCGATGTCGTTGTTAATGCAAGGTAAATAAACGTTCTAATTGTTGTTAAAGTCACGAATAATTCATGAAACAATACAGATAGCAATCTATATATCTGATAGCTTCACCAGATGTCGGAGTATGTTGTAAAAATGCCGTCAACGAGTGATTCTGGGGCCATCCATCTGACAGGCAGCAGTCCCTCTCCCTCCTTCTTATAATAATCATTAATGTACACATCGCGGGCCAAGCCAAAATCTCCAATCTTCACGATCAACTTTCCAGCGTTATCGTACGATACAAGACAGTTGCGAGCCGCCAAGTCTCTGAACAATTGCATAATTTATTGTATCTTTTAATATAAATGTCTTTCATATATCGCTATTTATAAAAATTTGTACAAACAAATAATTGTTATAAATTTAATTTTTGTTGAAATGGAATAAAAATTGAAGCACACCTATGAACAAAACGCATGCCTTGCAGGTACTCACAGCCTTCAGCAACATCCTGGCATATGGACAACATCGTGGACAACGATACATTTGGTTGTTCCGACTGTAACAACATTAACAAGCCCATTATTACTGTCTTCCGCATTTTTGAGTTAATGTTAATCTATCTTTCAAACTAAAATTTGTACCGCCAAGTGCATTTTAGTTTTTGTACGAATTTGACCCAATATTTTGAAAATTCAATTTGATACTCAACTGCCTGATCTAAAAAATTTGGGACTCTTTATTATAAATTCGCCTATAAATTAGCTTCATTTGAAAATCAGATGCAATCAATCCGTCCAAGTATCTATGTACTGCACAATAAGATTAGTTTTTAAAGTTTTTTGAAATTGAATTTTGAATTTTTGAGCGCTAATTTGAATGACTTAGATTTAATTTATAAAATCATTTGATCATAAAATAAACCTTTTATGAATTTATTATTAAGCAAAGTGTAAAATTTTCAGAAAACTAATTTCCATCAATGCTTCGTATAAAGTTTTTCAGTTTCAACTATACAATCAATACAGATAGACTTTTAAACAATCTAGATTTTAATTCTTTTATCACATTTTCAAACACTAATTTTTACGCTGGTAATTAGTTATTCGACCGCAAATTTTTATTTATATATTTTTTTCAAAAATAGAGTGATATATTGGGTAATTTTAACGAGGAAAAAATATATTTGAATGATTTCAAAAATTTCAACTAATTTATATCAAATTGCTAGCAATTTTTGATACATTCAACAATGCGGAAATGTTTTTTTCTCAATAATCAGTATATAATATTGAACTTTTTATTTTTAAGAGCTAAACATGAATTAAAATAACCAACGTTTATAAGTACCATATAAATAGTGGCATTAAAAAGAATAGAGCAAAAAATAGAATAAAACATTGACAGTAGAGAAAAAATAATCAAACCGATTTTTCTTTCCTAAGAAACGTTAGCAAATCTTTCTCCCTCATCAGCTCTATAACAATAAAGTTGCACTCATCTTCGAAACAGACTCCGATCAAATGCAACAACTTCTCGTGTCGGAACCTGAGTGTGTGTTTGTTTGTGTGTGTGTGTGTGCGTGCGAGTAAGTCTCTCTCTCTTTCTCTTTGTGTGTGCTCTCTCTTTCTCTCTCTCTCTCTCTCTCTCTCTTTGTGTATGCGTGTGTGCGTGTGTGTATGTTTACGGTTGCTTTCTTGTTAAAAGAAACTTAAAAACTTACAGTAATGATTGGTTAAACGATAAAATTACTAATACTATTAGCAAAATATTTTGAATAATATGATGATGATAAATAATAATAATATGATAATAAATAACAATAATATGATGATAATTAATAATAATATGATGGTAAATAGTATGATGAAAATAAATGATAATATGATGACGATGATGAATAATATGATGGCACCTGTTCATAAGAAGGGCCTCCTTCAGAAATTCTCTCTTTTCGATATCGCTTGCCTGGAGATGCAGTGTCTGTATTTGACATTTCAATTCTTTGTTATGTGTTTTGTTTTATCATTGATAGTTCCACTGACATAACATAGGTCAACTTTTGGTCTTATTTCTAATGCAGAACACTTACGAATGGTATATTCAAATTATCTTAACTAGTGGTTCGAACTATTTTAATGAAAGTTTTTTTTTACATTTAGACAAAGGAAAGTTGAAATTTGAAAATGTATCACTTAAAGGAGTTTAAAAAAGGGTTTTTGAGGAGGTCAAGTTTAGGTTTAAAACTCCGTCCAAGCAGGTTTAACAGACATAAACTGTTGACCACGGCGTGATAAGTAGTGAATTGTTTAAAACAACTATACAAATGATATGAGGCTTTGAGTTATTCAGGCAAAAATTGAAAAGTGAGATGTTGAAGGAAAAGTTGAAAAAATTTGCAGACTATGTATAATATTCATTGCAGGAGTTGAAATTTGTAGGCGAATTAAGGAAAATGGGTTAAATGTACGAAAATTTCAAGAAAAGATACCGAAATTAGTTAGCGTTAAAACAGTTGAAACAGTTGTGATAGGAGAGGTATTTATTAGAAAAATTTAAAAACATATTGTAAAGTTAGTGCAGTTAGTGCAATAATTGGTATAAAAAAACAAAAAGTGGTAAAAGAAGATCAAATTTGTCCACATTGCCCCAGAGTTTCAGTAGAAAAATATTGTACAACTACAGTACAACTACGGTAAATAATTTGGACATAAAAATATTTCACCGTGTTGTTGAAAATTGTTCAGATATATTTTGGAAAGTGCGAAGTAAATTTAAATTTATAAAAAGTTTAAAAATGATATGGCTTCATCAGAAATTGTTAATATGTAATGTGATATTTAAAGTATACTGAATTTATTTTCATAGTTAAAAGTATCATCGAAAAACGGTGATTGATTTGGTTAACCTTGATTGCCACATCCAAAGCTGTCATGTTATCACCTGTTATTACACCTTCGTAAACTTTTCCAAACGCACCACTGCCAATGAACTTCTTGAGATGCAGAAGATTTCTCGGAATGTGCGGCAACTTTGATAACTCCTCTTGTTTGAATGGAAGACTGAAAAAATTAGTTCACGCTATTTCCAGCTATCACATACTACTACTAAGAAATATTTATTTTATGTATTGAGTTGGAATTAAAAATAGACCAAGCGTTACATGCCTGTGTGCATAGGAGTAGAGCACGTTGTTGACTTGGATGGAGGGGTTTGGAGGGTTGGTTAGACTGACCAGTTCCAGATTGACGCTGTTCAATGGCAAAAATGTTCTACCGCCGCTCGTTTGCTTAGTTTTCCTCTTGTAGAACGCTTGAAAAATTTCAACAAAAATAACATTTTTTAACCTTATAATCTAAATTGAATCACCAACGGCTTATAACATGAGCTTTTTTTTAGAAAGTTATAATGTACATTAACTTGAAATTTATAAAAAATATGTGAAAGTTTGTGAAATAACTTGCATGTGATTATAAAGCCCATGCATTGGTCAATTATTCAACAGGCACAAAATTTTGCCAGTATTAGAAGAAATTATTTTGTCTAATAAAAAATGTAAAATTAAATAAAAATAGAAGATGACACAAAATTGTAGAACCAACTGTATGCCAAAATGCTGAATGCAGTGATCAAAATGAGGAAGAGAACAATGAAAATGGTCAGCAGCTTGTCGTTGTCAATGTACGGTTCTCTCCGCTCAGTCATTTCCTCCGCTATAAAAATTTGTTGAAAATAAGAAAAAACTTTAAAACACATTGAAACTCCGGAACACAGTAACCAATCTAAAAAAACTATTTGACGAGATTGTTTCCATAAAAAATATTATTTCCTTTGACTTTTGATACAATTCCAATTTCGAATTTTATAATTTGCATAATTTTATTTTAAAAAAAATAGTTGATTTAATTAAGTTTTGATTACTGTTATAAAAAAAATTCATTGATCCGTAATAATTAAGCTTGTCAACTTGAAGTCATGAATGTAGGCACGTTCGTCCACTTGACATCACCACAACCCCACAAAGTGCACACGGACACACCAGCTTTGATGACGCCATAAATATTTTCCATCTTGTACGACGTTACGTTATTCTTCATTTAAAAAAAAATTATAGAACCATCAATTGAATGTTTCAATTTTAAAAGCAAAAAACTAAAATTTAAAGCCAAACATTTAAATTCAATTTATTTCATTTTAAAATCTTTTACGATAAAAATTAAAAAAACTATTAAAAAAGTAGTATAGGAAATATATAACAAAATTATGGAAAACAACAACAACACACGTTTAGACGACATTTTCCCCGAGATCGGGGGTTGCCGTCTGGCTACCTATGATGAAACCGAAATACCCCTCGACGCCATCCACATCTGTCACTCGCCTCAGTATCACGCAACCCCGCTTTCACCCTGTCCTTCTCCACCTGCTCTCTCCATCCCAATCCCCTTCCTACCACTCCTTCAACTTCGAACTCTAACGCTCGCCTAATCCTGACCCTTTCATCCCTTCTCAACACATGTCCATACCATCGCAATCTCGATCTCCTTATCAATGTCACAATGTCCTCATTCAGTCCCATCATCGACCTTAGCTCTGTACTACTTCTCCTATCCTTCACTTTAACCCCACACATCATCCTCACCATAGCTCTTTCAGCCCTCTGCAGTACACTTTCTTCCTCTTTCCTCAACACCCAAGTTTCACCACCATAAACCATCGCTGCTCTTACACATGCTTTATATACCCTCCCTTTCATCTTCACTAACCATTTCTTTCCACACAATACCCCACCCAGTTCCCTAAATTTCATCCATCCTACACGAACTCTAGCCGTAACTGCGCTCAAACAGCCTCCATCCGCGTTCAGCTTATCCCCTAAGTAAACAAAGCTTTCCACTCTTTCAATACCACCACTTAACCCCGTCCTTGCGTCCGTCCTATTAATCACACCATGAACACATTTCTTACATTTGAACGTGCCTTCCACCTTTTTCAGTGCCCCCCTCACACCACTACATCTCTTATGCACCCATTTCTGACATCCTATACACAATACCGAGTTAGCCTTCACTCTCCTGTCACATACCCCACAGGGGTCGATTTTACTTATCACCTTCCCCACCTTTCCCACACACCATTACCTTCGTCTTACCAATATTAACTTTTAACCCTTTCTTTTCAATAACGCTCTTCCATCTGTCAAATTTTAACTGCAATTCTTCCATGCTATCAGCCATCAAGACTAAATCATCTGCATACAAAATCTCAAATAACAACCCTCCATTATGTTTCCACACACAACATCCATCACAATTGCAAACAGAAACGGTGATAACACTGATCCTTGATGCACTCCTACCTTAACACTAAAAGCGTCCGACATTATTATGGAAAAATTAAGTAAAATTTTAAGTTAACTAAACCAGAAAACATTCAACATTTAAAAAAAACTGATCCTCTAGCTCCAACTCCCATATATGTAAAATATATTTTAAACTATGATCCACGAAGAAAAAATTTCTAAACAAACAAAAGTTACAAATATGAACCGTGACGATGCGATGATCATGGTGCATCGAAACAATGTGGACTTTGAAGGTCAGTTGAACATCTGGTACGATGCTTGAGTCCAACAGAAACCAGGTTAATGTGGAAGCATTCAGTGTTAGGTTTATATTGGTGGACATGACTACGTAAGACGTACTGGACAGTTCACAATCTGTGGTGGATATATTTCCAACAGACTCAATTTAATGTATTCATCTTATTTTCACTTAATTAAGTTTTAATGGTTGCCTAGCATTAATACTAGCATTGAATAGCAATACATTGAAAATTTGCTATAAAAATAAATTATTTTAAATACTTTTCTGTTTGATAGAAAGAAAGTTGAATGAATGGTTATATTTCCACAAGTTCCATGAAAGTCTTCTCGTGTTCAAGTTGAACGAACACAACATATGATGACGTTGCTGTCCATCTTGTGCTGCTTGCGGTTGCTGATTGGATGCGTCAGATGATAGCCACAATACAGATCCTTCATGTAACATTAGGTCGCCTGAACTAATTTCGTTACAAAGTTCAAAGATGTATATAATGTTAATAAAAATTGTTAGTTGGCATATCGATGATTTTACTTTTCAAATATGTATGATAAGCTTACTATGTTCAAATGCACTTTACCATTTAAAAAAAACAATGAATATGTGTGTGATATTTACTTGTTTGTGAAGATCGTAAGATAGTATATGTAGATTGAGCACCACAAATTATCACTCGAAAACTAATTTTAGCATATTGAAATTTTGAAAGTGATACACTAACATGTAGAAACCATAGAAATGTGCAACTTCTGATTCACGATCTTCAACATCTTCAGCTCTGCTTAATTCGTTGTCATCACAGTCGGCAGTTTTATAACGGTATAATGGTTGAGTGTGAACGGAAGTTTTATTGCCACTGCTGACGAAACTGATCAAAATATTTTTTGATGGATCAAGAATTATGCCTGCAATTCTTTCATTTGACAAATTTTCAACCGTTTTTATAATTTTGTGGCATTTGCCATTCAATTGCGAGGCTTCAATTTTAAAATTTGAATACCAATATATGAAGCCGTTTTGCACGTTAAGAACAATTTTGCTAATTCTCACAGCGTCACCCAAGTCGAGTTGGCTTTTAGAGTTTGTGTAAACAATTTCTTGGCTGCTCCTTTCAAATAGTGACGATCTGAAAATCTTAATGACATTTTCTAAAATTAAATTTCGTTTCCAAAATACATTTTATTTAAATATAAAACAACAATTCAATAAGCAATTGAACAAAAATGTAAAAAAGTGTGTATAAATAATAAGAACACCCCCAATTTATAATTGCAGTCACTCAAGCAGACTGACAATCGTACAATCGTAGAATTACAACTAACACCGTCAGCCTGAGAATTGATCCAATACAGCGAATGTGAGTAGCGGTCGTAGAGAAGATGTGAAGCATCAATCGTCGAAGAGGCCGACCAATGTTCTGTTTTGTTCGAACAGAGGTCTATTAGGATTGTGTCTTTTGCAGAATGTACAGTCACAACATTTCTCAACGAAGATATGACTGAAAAATTTTAATTCATTAATTATATTATCATTTAAGAAAATAAAAATAATGAACATAAAAACCATACGCTTGATGTCGTTTAGGTTGTCTACAAACAGCTTGCTACTTTCACCTTCTTGTAATTCGTATAAGGACCTGCCCTCAGAGGTAAGGAAAACTGGAACTAAATAATGACAATAAATTTTAATCAATTAAAAAATTGGGCTCGTGAAATTTCGTTTCAATTATTTTCATTTGATTGAGACTTGAAGCTGAAAAATTAAAAAATGTTGTTGAGCCATCTGAACGATAGGTGAACAATTTTTTTAAAAAAGTGTATCTTATTGATTTAATATATTTTATTAATTTTGAAACAAATTTAAATATTTTTTTAATAAAATTTAATACAAATTTTTAAAGTTTCATTAATTTTTATTTCAGATTAACACATGCAAATTTTTCGTGTTAAACTATTTATAAATGTATGTTGAATACATTATATTTTATTAAAAAAGTGAGCGTGTTTCAAAACATGCTGCCCACAGCACAAATCTAACCAGACTGCCAAGGAACATATGAATACATCGGTGACCACAATCCATAAGTTTCTCTGAAGATTGCCCTTATTTTTAAACAGTACATCATAGAAGTCAGATTGTGCACTGTTACAAAGGTATCGTTGGAGTATATTGAAATGATCATTTGATGGTCGTCGGCATCATCAACATCTTCCTCTTCACATTCAACACTTCCATATTTATCGCTTCTTGAATCCACGTTACTGACCTCGTCATTATTGTTTTGCATCAACTCTGACGTCATATTCTGAGAGACAATTTTTATTTCATACCACCACAAGCGCGGAGTTATTTTCGTACCTTCAAATTTCAAGTAAAATATAATAACATTAATTCTAACTGTAAAAAAAATCACTCAAATAGTTTTGCTTTCAAATTCAGTATGGAATTAGTTAAAACATTAGTTGAAAACTTGACAAACAGCAAACTAACAAACCTCCTATTTCAGTAAAAACATTCCAATTAATTGAAACTGAACTTTTGTGGCACCAAACGTTCACGTCGCTGGGCGCTTCACTGGGAACTGATAAATAAAATAAAGTTTTACATTATCAACATTTAAGAATTTGGTTTAAAATTTTGCATTTTATGTTAAATTAGACATGAAAAATGTCAAAAGTTGGGTGAACGTTACAATAACCAGGTGTGGGCTGGCTGACGGCATCCCAAACAGATAATTGAGAGATGAAAATGCCGTCCAATATATCGTGCATCTTGTGGCTTCCCGCTTGCTCGTTGTATTCTTCATAAATCAGTGTGCTTCCGTTTGACCAAACAAATGCGTCCGTGTTCTTATTGTGTATTAAAGTAACCATTTCATAATTGGAAGACTCAAATCTATTTCCCGATCTTAAAGTTCTGCTATCATTCTCATTTCGTCCGTAGCAAATTGATTGAATGGAATTGTTGAATGGAAAATATATCATCATATCAATGAAGTTTAAGGCAAATGTTGTGATTGGATGATTCTGCTCATAAATTTTTTCGTCAGGATTATTGTTTGATAACTCTTTTGTTTTAAGATATCCGTCCTTGATCCAGAATATTAAACTAAAAAGTATTAATAACGAAACAAGAATTAAAAATATTTTTAATAAATTTCTAAAATGTTAAATAACTTGTTTAATGGATCGACTTTTAAATGAGAGGCCCGATCAACTGTGAGGTCAACGGGCAAATCGCATTCTGGCAAGTTTTTTACTTGGCATGTGTAGACCTTTGATGACAAATAACAAACTCGTAAATGTTTCAAATCAAATCAGCGTTTGGGGATTAATGTGAAACTTAGCATTAATAATTACAAAAGTACACATTATGACCATTTTCTGTATATTTTAATTTCTAATTATTATTAATCCCGACTCTTACGTTGTACACAAAAAATAATTAAAATCGTCCTCAAGCAAAACATGAAAACAAATTGACTCAACATGAAATTCTCACTCGACTGCCTAAAGCCCTGTACAGTTTCTTGTTTATCCAGTCGTAAGATATGAGGGTTGCAAAGTTTTTTATCATCATTTTTTTTCCACCGCTGGAATAATCAACAGCTATAAAGTCTTCGTTCGAATAAGCAACGTACACCAATCCTTCTTCATAGTTTATGTCCAGTCCTATAATGCAGAGAGTAGAAAAATTGAAGTTTCCAATTTTCGGAAGCTATCATGATTATCATCATCCTAATCTTCCTCCTCATCGTCATCCTCATCGTCGTCATCATCATCATCATCGACGTCGTCATTGTCAAACTATTGGGCATTTTGTAAGCTGAATTATTAATCTTAAAATTTTTCAATTTACAACACATCAAATTATAATTATTTTAGATAATTAAATGAATTTGTAAATGAACGAATTTCCGAAATAGTAATACTGTTAGATTTTATCAATGTTAGATGGCATGCAAAGGTTGAAAATTCGAAGAAACTGATAAGAATTTCCATGGATGAGTAGGATATGACACCGGATAAAACATGACAAGGATGGGACAAAACAAGAAGAATAGAAGACATACTAAATGCAGGTGCACGCAAGAGTCTGCCTTATTGTAAAATCTTTCATCATGTTGTTTGTTAGCAGTTGTTTGAGACATTGCTCTTACGACAATCTAGCAAATTTTTTCATGCATCCAACTCTTGGTAGTCAATAGAAAGATGAGATGATTTTTGAAGTGGGTACTGTTTTCAACTTTAATAATTTATTTTTATAACAGAAACAAATTGCTTTCAACTCAATAAAAATAAAAAACACAACTGATAATATCATGCCAATTCACCAGCGACAAGAACGGAGGAAATTTCATGTCCGTACAAAACTCGTTTGTTGGTGTCCAAGACATTCGAGGAGTCGAGCACAACCAGCTCGTTGTTTCTTCCAACTATCCACTTGCTACTTAGCTCTGCGATTGTAAAATTAAACACATTTAATAAAATTTAATTAAACAATGCATGCAATAAACAAAAAGTGCACCTGTTTTTATAGATGGTGTTTGAAACCTATATTCTGAGATGAGATCTGTAACATAAGATGACAGGATGGATGCTTGAACTTTATATTCACTGCCTGGTTTCAAATTTGATACAAAGTGGCTGTATTCTTTCAATCCATTGAAATGTGCAGAACGATCGTTTCTATAAAGCAAACGCTCCTCTGGCCGAAGAACCCAGACGGCGAGGTCGTAGCTGTTGCTGCTGTGCTTGTTTGGGTCCTTGATGACGATGCGGGCAGAGGAGGAAGTTATGCTGTCCACGTTCAGCTCTAGACGTTCAACTGGAACTGTTTCAGTATTTTTTTCAAAAATGGTTTGTTTGATACAAAAATCTTTTTAAATAAAAATAAATTATTTTAACATGATCCAACATGATAAATGTCGTGGGCTTCAAAAATTTGTTCAATATCTCTTTTAAAAAAAAAATATCTGGAATGTTTGTTTCAAGTTTGAAAATGTAATTTTTTAATATTTGTACCCTAATAAAAGTAGAATTGTTTACAGGCTATTTGAAAAATTAATCAATTTGATAAGTCAAGTTATGCTGGTTAGGTATGTAATGAAATTGGCGATCGAAAGTCATCCTTACTTCTAAGCATTGTTTGTCTCCCTCTTGAACAAACTTCAATACATTTGGACAACTGAATAAAAATATGTTACACAATTCAATATCTTATTATTTTCTACATTTACAAATTATGGATTAACATGCTTGTCATGCCATTTCATAAAATATTATTTTCAACATGCATATGTTATTAATCAGAAGTTCAAAAATACGCGTCCACGCCTTTTAAAAACTTTATTAACAGAACAATGAAGAATTCTAACATTTTTTTGAAATTTTGTAATAAGCTTATTGATGCACTTATTAACAAATTTACACCTAATAAGAATTGAAATGAGGCACTTGAACTGAACATTGACCTTGAAGCTTTGGCATCGTTATATATAATTTGTATTTTATTTTTTTAGCTTCAACTGATCACCCACACTAAAACTAAAAGAATATTTCTGTATTAATTTTAACGTATGTGACACCATTGTTTTTCTTGCTTACAAAAGGTTTATAATAGAAATAACATGACAGGGCAAACAATGCGAGAATGAATATGAAATATCAGGAGAGCGATTCATTTAAACTATTAAACGTTTAAAAAAAAATAAGAAAAATTTGTCACAAAAAATTGACACAATTATGAAATGTTCGATTTATTTATAACTGGTTGACATATTTAGCAAACAAAAAATTTTCATTCAAAACCCTTTAAACGATTTTGTAACAATGATAGGGATGTAAATATCAAAAATTGGATCTGAAAAGAACGAAATTGAAATGAAAACTTGAAGTAAAAGTTCTTGAAGGAACGAGCATATCGCATGTAAATGATTGCATTAAGATATACTGTGAAGATTATTTCAAAGAAATGTTTCGAGAAGAAGTTCAAATATCAGAAATAATTCAAACAGATCCAATTGAATGAGATCTAATTAACGTAAAATTTATTCCACATTCATCAGTAAATGTCGATAGTGATTGAAAAAGTTTTATAAAACAAACAAAAAGTTAACTGTTTTGAGAGTATAATTTTCATAATTTCATGCAAAAATATTCTTTAAATGTCATAACTTCTAAATGAGGAGACAAAGTGGCCTGAACAGACGAGCGTCACAAAACAATTGCCCCCAAGCTGGTTGCAACGAAACGTAACATGCAATCTTAAAGTAAACTCATAAGAACATATTGCTTTTTTAAATTTTTAAAACTTCACATGCAAACTTGATAATATAATGTAGCGTAATACAATTCAGTACAAATGGTAAGAGACCACCTAACACGAAAATCCTTAACTGCCAGAAAATTCAAAAATTCACACGTAGAAAGTTGCGAATAAAACCACAAAACCAAATAAACAAAGTAAACATCACAAAATGAAAGGAAATGAAAGGGATATCAAATGTTAAAAGTTTATCAACATACCTTTTCAGAACTGGCTCCAAATCGAGTCTGTGTGATTAAAATGTTAGATTACATTTATTTCCACTGAAATAATTTCTAGAAGAAGGTTTCACAAGGTTTTTCGAATTGAAAAATTTGTTAAGATATATCCAAACAGTGAGCTATAAATTGTCTGAACATTTTTTAATAAACGATTGGCTCTCATAAAATGGAAAATAACAAATAACAATCTAACATTCAGAAAATTCAACAGAAGTCTGACGAACCTAATCATGTCAGATGTAGCTTGTATATACAAAACAATAAACAGAATAAGTTTTTCTATATAATTTATGAATAAGCAGCACTTTTTAATTAGGTATATTTGTGTGATTGATATTTGGCGAAAGTAGTTAGTTGATTTTGTTCATCATCATCACCACTGTTATCGTCAAATGTCATTATTAGCATAATCATTATCACTTTTATTATTTTATTGTTAAAATTATTATTATAATCATCAGCAACCTTATCTTAATTGTCATATTTAATAGTATTATCGTGCTATAACTTTTCTTTAATGTCAATATTATAACTATAATAGTCATTTCATCATCAACATCATCGTCATCAAAATTTAAATTAGAACAAATAGGTTTGATTCCGTGCTGTGTTAATGTTAAACCAGATCTTCATGTCAGTAAATTGCACACAAAAACATAAAATCCATGCACATAAACTGAACTGTGTTGTTTGTTATAAAATTTTTTTTTAGCTGATGGATAAGTTTGATTGACAGGTGTCATCGCAAGAAATAAATATATATCCGTAAAAGAGTCGACAGAAGTTGGTTTAAAATGCGTCTCATTATTTCTTTTTTATATTTTTTTTGTTGCAAATAAGATGCCTACTATTTTTATACGTATCACATAAATGTGAAGATATGTGTGTACAGATAACTCTCAAGTAATTTAACTAAGAGGAAAAGAAGTTAATTATGAAAATTGCTTAAGATTAATCAGAACTGAGAATTTTAAAAAATCATTACTCTATCGAAAAATTCCGGACCCGCCAAAACGGGACTAAACGGCATTTAGCAAGAATTAGCAAAAAATGTCGCCAAGTTTACAATTTTGAAATCATTCCTTACTGCAAAATTTTTGTTTCACCAACTAACACACTGTTGACATGTTTCGTTGTCAAAAATCCCTGAAGTTCGATTTAATTCATAATAATAATTTAGTTTGGCCTCTGGCAAATGAATTAATTATTAATTGGTATGCATCAGCAAGAGTTGTTTAACAATCTATTGTGAATTTTAAATAAGTTCTCAATATTTTTATATGATAGGTAAAAAGACGAGTTTGATTGTTTATTTGTGTTTCGATTGATTTCAAATCAACTCAAACAGTGTAAACATCTGCAGTCACAAGTAACATACACTATTTTAGCAGTTTTCACATATACATCAAATAATAAAATTAAAATGCAAAAATAGCAATAAGGACAAGATGTGGTTAACATCTTTTAAAACGTTCAAATTCAATCACTAAGTAAAACCAAACTAAATAATTTATAATTCAAAGAACTCACGCAAGCCTCATGGCAGTTGAAGGAGGAGTGTTCATCTGTGTTGCAACCGACACGGCACTGAAATTATTTATTATGGATAGTTAAGAATTTTGTTAACGTCACAAAGTTGGAAACTTTTTCAATTTGATCATCTCAGGCGCTAAATAATTTAAAAATTTAAGACAGATTTTATTATATTAATATCTTGAAATTCGAAAAGTTTACAATAAAACTGCGCGCGTTTACACTGTGACAATTTTGTTGTTTCACTGAATGTGTAGCTGAAAAATTATAAAAACGAGAAATAAACATTTTTTTAAAATTTGTCAAGTCACATTAACTTCTGCAATTTGACTTTTGAAACACCTATCTATGTACTAGTGAAAATAAAAGTTTGTCATAATTTACCACACTAAAAATGCTAAAAAATAGTCGAAAAATAATAGAATGTACGTAAAATTATGTTTGTGGTAGCAAGAAATAAAAATTTTAATTACTTTTCTGTTTACTCTTTCGAGAAAGAAATCTAACAAATACGAGTAAGGAGGAGGAATGTTATAAAGAAAGATAACAAATGCACGGCACTGCGGAGAAGTTGATGTAGAAGATATTAGTGATGTATTAGTGAACAGCTGTTCGCGCCATTTGATTGCATTTCTTGCAGAACCATTAGCTCGGTAGGCATCTCGAGACGGTAAATACGCATCATCATTATTCTCTTTTTACTCTGCAAGTGCAAATTTTGAGAATATTCTACAATGTTTCGAAAGTTACTTCTTAAGTTCGAACGTCGCGACTTAAGTTGGGCTGGGGATGATATCAAACCTTCAACTTTTTGATTCAAAATGACTCTAATATTTTTAATAAAATGGTGTTTATGTGTACTAAAGAAATATAATTAAAACAGTTTTACTGAAAAATTTTCCCAAAGAGTAGCTGAAGCATGGACTTACGCTTGAAAAATGTAAGTGGATTATTGAAATCGGGCGCTAACGATCATTATCAAATTTCACGTCTAACATTTCAATGAAAATTCATTTTTTACATGAAAAGAAGAATGTAGAGGAGGTCACAATAGATGATGCCAAAAGAAGAAAGAACGCACCGAACGAGAAGCGTAACCTCATACATTGTTGTCTGATCGTTCCTAGCGATATGAAAGACCTAAAAGGAAGGAATAACATATTTTAAAAGCATTGTTTGCCTGCAAGCAAGCATCCGTCACTCCAGATTACATTTCGTTCATCTTTTTTTTCTAACGTTAATAATTAACAATTACCGCACTCTACAAACTTACAACTTTCTCCAAAAAATAAACTTTCAAACAACCGCAACACTACAAAAGAACAAAAATTGAATGGGAGTGTTCGGTAGCGATTTGATCCTGTTTGCACTGCACATAGCACTCATGTGTTTGGGTGTGTTGTTGGTTTGTGAGCCGGTTGCGTTTGCGTGTTAATCTTTTATCGAACGTGTTGCTGTTGCCTGTTTTTTATATTGCTTTCTATATGTTTTGCATATTCTTGACACTTTGTGCATATTTTGCTTATGTACATATGTATACATAGGATATATACATATATAAACAATTTCTTGAACAAAATCTTCGTGTTGTTTACATTACTTGCACAGCACATACATACGTGTTATCTGCATCCCGTTTAAAAAGCTTTCACATGTCACATTCGTATTATGAAGAAGGATCAATAATTTTCGTGTTTCTAGTCGATTGAAAATTTTCATCTGATTTGAACGTAAACCGTTAAAAGAATCTTGAATCTTGCATATTTTTTTAAAACGATGAAACTTTTTAAGCAAAATGTACGACTTAAATAACAACTTTTCTAAAATATCACACACACGTCACAATTTTCAAAATAAGAGGCGTTCACAAAAAAACAACACAACATCAATTATATACTAACAAATTCAATCTGAGAACAGTTTTTCTTCGGTTTGCATGACTCTTGGGTTTGATTCTGAAATGAAATGATCATCAATTTTAATACTTTTGTGTCTGTAACAATCGAAAATGTTTTCAAATTAGTGATGAACATGATTGTGGTTAGCACAGGGAACTTGTCATATGGTCTGAAATGACCTCTGGGAATAGCTGGAGAGAAAATTGTAAAGAATTGTAATTATATGTTGTTCGTAGTTAGTCACAATCGAAATGATATCCATAACAACTTGACTGGAGTTTGTTGCTAAATAAATTTTTATAATTGTTTTTAGACAAAGAATTCTGATTTTATCTAATAATTTGTTTTTATAAAACAAAAGATTGTGTTATGAAGACCTTAATCGATATTAATATATTTACCGTTTACAACTGTTAATTTTTTGTTGATCTGCTACTTATGTATGCAATTTTCTGAAAAAATTTTTAATTAGTATTTTAGTTGAATTTTTATTCATCAGCTGCCATAAAA